GACGTTGGTCACTCAGGTCCTTATTGTTTTAATGCTTTTGAATTTACTTTTTACGTAGTTTTGGGGTTGTGGTTTTTGACATTTTGATTTATTTATTTTTCCTTTTTGCACTGCGGTGGTGTCTTATTTTTCTCCACTAGTGGAACGGATGGGTGAAAGACGATCACGCTTTCAAAATAAGAGCGCTCAACAAATTCTGGGCTGAAAGATATGAAAAGATATGAAATTTGATGGCCTGAACAAACATTTTTTTTTACAATGACTTTCTGACCTGACCTGACAACTTACTGCGCAAGCGTTTTTGTTTGTGTTGATGTCATTATGTGTCCCAGTTGATCGTTGTGTGTGTGTGTATATTTGATGTGCGTTTCTGGTCATTTATTTACAGGCAGATGACCACGAACACGACCCGCAGCGGACACAGGATAACTGTGTCCGCTGGATAAATTCTGGATAGATTCTTGCTTTTCTTTTTTTTTTCAACAGGCTGAGCAGTGCATTTAATGACAACTAACCACTAACAAACTGACACATAACACACCATTGTTTCATTTGAATAACTTGAAACTAACGAACCGTTGCTGTTTCTTTTGGAGCAGGATTCCACAGGTACAGACCGGCTGCTGGAAGTGTGAGAACATACGAGTGTCGACAATTTTACAACCGAGTCTGTTATGTTGTGTGTTCTGATTTTTATATTGTTTGCCCAAACACCATTCAGCACAAGCTGGTCGCGGTCGCTGGGGCTCGTGAGCAGGCAGCGGGCGAATGCAGACAAGGCAGACAAGGCATACCTGCCTCTGCCCATATGCAGGCACTGGCCACTCCAGACGAGATGGAGCTGTGGGCGAAAAATGGCCTTGGTGGGTTGCTGGGTAAACCTCAAACCGGGTTTGCCACAGCATTTCTTCAGAGACTTTGTGCCTTTAGCACATGGCCGAGACCATGCCTGAAAAGGAGGGATGTGTAACTTAAATTACACACAATTGAGGTTCTGCCAAACCTTTGGCACAGAACCCGGGTAAGTTCCAAATTATTCCTTAGGCTGCCCATGCCCCGCCCCATCGCACCATGCCAAGGTAAGAAATACTGTCTGTCTGGTTCTGGTGGATCTCTGGTCCAAATGGACTGAAGTATTTGCATGTAAACACGCCACGAGCAACGCGGTGGTGAAAGCTCTGCTCACAGAAATTGTGCCACAATGGGATGTCCCGGAAAGGAAAAAAAAAAAAAAAATAAATAAATAAATAATAATAATATATAATTTATAGTGACAATGGCAGTCACTTTGTAGCAAAATTATTGAGGAAGTAGGTCACTTTCTGGGCATTGATATAAGGAAACATTGCGAGCGAGAGAATGGCACTCTGAGGTCAAAACCTAAACCCATTCGAAACCCTCTTTGCCAGACCGCCCAACTTGGGAGCGGGACCCCGACCTAGAGATCTGCCATGCACCTTTTGTGTGATGACGACATGCTGTCCTATTGTAAAGAAATGAATGCACTACTGTAATTTATTTCTGCCTAGGTCAGGAGCGCCCTGCCACAGGCGGTGCAGGCGGCTCTGCACGAGATCGAGCCATACGACTGGGTCCTGGTGAAGGAGACAAGACGGAAACATGGATCCCATCCTCATCCTCCTGGTGACGGACACGGCCGCTAAAGATCGCAGAGAGGACAGCTTGGATCCACGCCAACCACTATCGTGCAGCGCTGCCACCGAGGGCCATAGACGAGGACACCGAGGGTCGGGACGGAGCAGGCATATTCACGGCTCCCTAAGCATAAGGGGCCGGCCGGCGTGAGAACTCCGTCACTGGAGCAGGCCCACAACAACAACAACACCCAGAGAATCCCAGCGTTCCCGAGGCGCATCCCCAGGAACAACACGGCGTCCCATCTCCCTTGCCCTCGGACCCCAAGGTCACACCCCGAAGTGCCGAGGCCAAAGCCCCAACGCGATTAGGGTCTTGCCGCTCCAAGACCGAACATCGCCATGACCACTAACGCTTCACACACGCTCAGAGGGAGCGGTGCCCCTGAACGCTCGTGAACATTTGTAGGTAAACTAATGCTAAGGACGGAGACCCTGAGCTATAGGTTCTCAGGTTTTGTCAATACCACAGTGGCCATACTTGAATCACAGAGAGTTGAACTTCACGACCTACGTGCCGTTGTTCTTCAGGACCGGTTGGTCCTGGACCACCTGACCGCGTCTGTGGGAGGCGTATGCACGATCATTGGGTCGTCCTGCTGTACATATATTCCGGCTAATGATGAGGACGGAGGTCTTATCCAACAGGGCATAGCCAATCTGACTAGACTCCGGGACGCCATGCAAGCGGACAATGTCACGGACACTCCTCACGGTCTGGACTGGCTCCTGTCCTCCTGGCGGAGTGTGCTCATTAATCTTGGTTTAGCCCTATTGACTGTTATGATTTTATTTTCGTGTGTATTACCTATGGTGTTTCGGGCCGTTGGTAAGATGATATCCACTCACTTTGTGTCCATTCAATACAAAGACCCTGAGGCGGACCTGGCCGCTGTCCCACTGAACCCCGATCCTGATTATATCAGCGATTCGGACGACGACTTTGTCTAACGTTTTTCTTTTTTGTTTACCTTGTTTTTATTTTTCCACTTGTTCCGCCTACAATTTAGGGGGAGGGTATCACAGTGAAGAGCTTTGACCACACCCTCGTAATACAAGAGGCTTGGGTGACGGCAGCGTAGCCTGTCCATCAACAACTCTTGTTTTGCTCAGGGACCAAGGTCAAAACTCACCCACCTGAATGTGATTTCTGTAAAACTGGGGTTTCTACATTATCACGGGAGAGGAGTGTTATGGCAAGTTGGTTAGCCTCAAGGACGCCAACTCACCCCCCGCTGTTCTATTCAATTAACCTGCAGGAAGGAACCGGTCTCCCCCCTGCACCGACAGACATGACGCAAATTACTATCTCACCTTTGCCCCTTTTACATTCTGCATCTCTATCGGTCCGTATGTCTGCATCTCTATGTCCCTTTTACATTCTGCATGTCTATTGTCCCTTCTGTTTGCATCTCCATGGCACAAAGATTGTCTCTCACCAGGCAAGGCGCCCCGCCATCTGGATGCCCGTCTCAAACTGTGACCCCTCCCACCTTTTGTGGGCGTGACTGTCTTTCATGTGTTGCCTATGTAAACGGGGACCTGGGACTGGCCCCGGCAGAGCTCACGATGCAAGACTGTATGTCGGCTCTCCGCATATATATGTGTAAAATAAATGTGTTTACATCTTTGATTTAAGACAAATACCTTTCCAGCTTTTTCCTTTATTGGGGTATGAAATTCCACAACAGTAGTACGAGAGAAAGGTATTTTTCTGAAATGATTGAAGGCTGCAGCAACAATCTGCGTGTTCTGTTCTCAACAGTTAATAGATTAACAAACCCCCCTGTTCAAATGCCATTAGAGCTTACTTCCAAACGTAAATGTAATGAGTTTGCACACTTTTTCAATGACAAGGTTCAAGGCATCAAAAACGCCATTGTCTCCAATCCACAGATAACCATCCAACAGCCTGAAAGGCTTTCTGAGCTAACTCACTTTGCACCTGTAAATGATAAAACTGTCCAAGAGATAATCTCCAGTTTGAGCTCCTCCACATGCAGCTTGGATGTACTACCCACTAGATTTCTGAAGTCTGTTCTGGGCAGTCTGTTACCTTCACTCACACAGATAGTAAACATGTCCCTTCATTCTGGAATATTCCCAAAGGCCCTGAAAACTGCAGTCATCAGGCCCCTGCTAAAAAAGAGCAGTCTGGATGCTACGGTACTTAACAACTATCGTCCCATCTCAAATCTGCCATTTATGGGGAAAGTCCTTGAAAAAGTTGTCTACCTACAGGTTACTAGATTTCTTATAATCAACAACTCATTTGATATGTTTCAGTCCGGCTTTAGACCCCACCACAGCACTGAGACTGCTCTTGTCAAGGTTACAAACGATATCCGGCTGAACACTGACGCAGGCAAAGTCTCAATCCTAATCCTGTTAGATCTAAGTGCTGCCTTTGATACTGTCGACCATGAGATCCTCTTACAGAGACTAGAGGACTGGGTTGGCGTCGCTGGCACCGCCCTAAGTTGGTTTAGGTCTTACCTTGAAGACAGGAAGTACTTTGTGGAGATTGGAAACTGTGTCTCAGATCATATGGCCCTGACCTGTGGAGTACCACAGGGGTCGATCCTGGGACCTCTTCTGTTCAATCTCTACATGCTGCCGTTAGGTCAGTTAATACGCAGAAACAAAGTGTCCTATCACAACTATGCAGACGACACTCAGATCTATGTCTCACTGACTGCAGGAGAACATGGACCAGTGGACTCACTCCTTCACTGTATCCAACAGATCAGTGAGTGGATGCAAAACAACTTCCTTCAGCTAAACGCAGACGAAACTGAAATGATTGTCTTTGGTCCAGAAACAAAGAGAGAGCGTCATCTGTCACCTCCAGTCTCTCTCCCTAAAACCTTCAAACAAGGTCAGAAATCTAGGGGTAATACTGGACTCAGACTTAAATTTTAATAGCCACATCAAATCAGTAACATCAGCAGCTTTTTACCATCTAAAAAACATTGCCAGGATCAAAAACATAGGGTCTAAAGCAGACTTGGAGATTCTTATCCATGCATTTGTCTCCAGTAGGTTAGACTACTGCAATGGCCTGCTCACAGGTCTGTCCAAACAGGCTGTAAAACAGCTGCAGTACATTCAAAATGCAGCAGCTCGAGTCCTGACTAGAACCAGGAAGTACGACCACATTAGTCCTGACTAGAACCAGGAAGTACGACCACATTAGTCCTGACTAGAACCAGGAAGTACGACCACATTAGTCCGGTCCTCAGGTCCCTGCACTGGCTTCCTGTGGCTCAGAGAATAGACTTTAAAACAGCTCTGCTTGTGTACAAGTCTCTCCATGGCCTCGCACCAAAATATATTAGTGACATGTTAGTCCCATATGAACCAGCCCGGACTCTGAGGAGCACAGGGACTGGACTCCTGCTGGGACTCTGAGGAGCACAGGGACTGGACTCCTGCTGGGACTCTGAGGAGCACAGGGACTGGACTCCTGTTAGTGCCCAGAGTCAGAACTAAACATGGGGAGGCTGCTTTTCAGATTCATGCTGCTAAAATCTGGAACAGTCTTCCTGAAGATGTGAGACAGGCCTCCTGTAGCGGCCAAAACTTGCCCTGTGCAAGGTCCGCTGGATGCAGTGTGTTGGCGTCTAGGACGCGTGTCTCTCACCATCCAAATAGAGCAAAATACTGTGTTCTACAATCTTTTATTGTTGCCAAGTACACAAATATAAAGCTGTGGTAACAAACAACGGTCGAAAGATGTTTGCCTCCACACTACAACACCTGTCTGTCATTAGTGCCCCACTTATATAGGGCATACTATCTAGGTGGCGCCACACAGTGGCAGGAGGCAGCAAAGGAAATCATAGGAAACTGGCTCCAACACACCGGCCCCTTAATTGTGAAAGCCAGGAGCTAAACAATTACAAAATTCAAATAAACATGGAGCCAAACTTTAACTTAGCAAGTTTGTCACATGGGGAACACATTTTTCAAAAAACACAAAATTTCAATGTCCCCTTATTCAAAGTAATTGTTCAATACACAGAAAATACATTTGGCATTTACTATCCATCCTGTTTAGTTTCATTATTCAAAACTATTTCCAGCGCTTTCTTTTGAAAGCTTTGCGCAACTTTAGCTTAAACATTTTGCTGGCTGAAAGCACATACAGAATCCAAAGACAGTTCACGAGTACAACAAAATCAAAATGAGTGTTTCTTACAAAAGCATTGTTGTGCTTGCTTTTACTACGCCACTGTGGCAGTGGAAAAATCCTGGTGTGGCCTGGTGTGACCATGTCTGGGCCACCGCAGGCCAGCTTCTGCTGCAGCAGGCCTCCCACTACAGGCTGCAAGGCAGTCAATAAGACAGGACCAGCAGAACTTTCCTGCTCTTCATCCTCTGTACTGTCCATCTTTTTCCATGAGCATGTCTCAGTGTCCAAATCCAATGTCACCGTTTGCTCATGGTCCATAAGGGAAATCTCAAAGTCCTCCTGATGCTCCTGACGTACTGGTGAAGATGAACAGTTCACATCAGCCATTTGTGTGGCACTACCGGCCCCTGTTGGCTCAAGCGCATCCACCAAAGTGGCAATGTAAACTGGTGGCTCCCAGTCAAATCCATCCCAGTCATCAGGGGTCCCAGTTGGCTCAAGTGAACCCACCAAAGTGGGTGCATAAACTGGTGGCTCCCAGTTAAATCCATCCCAGTCATCAGTCCTAGTTTCTTTTATAACTGCAGGGACAGTTGTGGTTGGAACTTGTCTTAGCACCCTAGGCTCTATTGGAAGAGATTTATTTTTATGCCGATGCTTCTTTGAGGCATTCAACACTGAAAGTTTAGCTGTCACTTCAGCCATTTTAGTTTCAAATTCCAGCTCTTCCAGTTGTCTCTTAATGGCTAGTTGCTTTGCTTCCAGTTCATATTTCTCTTCCAAAAATGACATTTTAACTAGAAGCGCAGCTTGCTTAGCTTTCATTTTAACCAAAGCTGCAGCAGCTGAAGCTCTCTCTTTTTTGTCCGTTTTTGTTCAAATCCCTGGTGCACATTTTTTACAGTGTCCACCTCACAGTCCATGTACCGCTCCTAAACGTGTAGTCTGTGCGGCATTATCTTGCACACAGAAATCAGAACTGCTCACCACGTTCTCCAAACGCGGTGCCGAGCTCCTCCGCGGGCCAGTTTGCGCGCCGAGTCTTCCCTCGCCCGCGCTGGTGGTGGAGGACGCCGGTGCTATCTCCGGTGTTTTTGCCCTTTCCTCCTTCCCGCCGACAGTCCGCCGGTTCGCCGCACCCCTGTGGCAACGAGTCACCACCACGGTAGTCGTGGGTCCACTCCTCTCCAGGAAACCGCGCTGTGCCAATCACAGCTGAGGCAATCTTCACGCCCAGACGGTACCTGAGGCCATCTTTCGACAATGTAGCGGCCAAAACTTGCCCTGTGCAAGGTCCGCTGGATGCAGTGTGTTGGCGTCTAGGACGCGTGTCTCTCACCATCCAAATAGAGCAAAATACTGTGTTCTACAATCCTTTATTGTTGCCAAGTACACAAATATAAAGCTGTGGTAACAAACAACGGTCGAAAGATGTTTGCCTCCACACTACAACACCTGTCTGTTATTAGTGCCCCACTTATATAGGGCATACTATCGAGGTGGCGCCACACAGTGGCAGGAGGCAGCAAAGGAAATCATAGGAAACTGGCTCCAACACCTCCTCTCTGACAATGTTTAAAACCAGGTTAAAGACAGTTCTGTTTAGCTGTGCTACAACTGAGGGATTTTATATTTGTATCTTTCTTTTTAATGTTCTGTGATTATTTATGATTTTAATGCTTTCTTGTTTTGTTCAGCACTTTGAATTGCCTTGTGTATGAATTGTGCTACATAAATAAACTTGACTTGCCTTGCCTTGCCTTGCATATTTACATGTGTTCTCTCTCGTCCTAATTATCACAGAGATTTTTGTCACAACTGCAAAAACAGAGTAGCTCTCTGCCTTGTCTGTGGTATACAAGTAGCTCTTTGATCAAGACCCCTGGAATAAAGTACAAATTAAGCAGTATACAGAATAATGTAAACATAATACAGAATAAAGTAAAGAATACAGTCCCACTTTGGAAACATTAACACAAGTAGAGGATGTTGAAAGCAAATCACTCAAATGTTTACCATTCCCCACAGGCTCAGAGAGGCCCAGCCCAGCCCAGCCCAGTCCAGGTCAGGGCTCAGGATCTGGGACGGTGTCAGATTGTGTCATGTGAACGGAGTGTGTGATTCGTAAAAAAACACTCCATGTTGAAACTGTAGATGTATTTACTCCAGAGTGTTTGTGCATTGGTGAAATAAGTCAAGAGGCTTCACACTTTTAACCCGAGAGTCAAAGATCCTAAACTGTTCTTTGTGTATGAAACTATGCTCCTTGTAAATGGATTGTTCTGCCTTCAGTCATCAAACCTGTCTCATTAGAACTGATTCGCATTTGTAGATGTGTTTTTGTTAAAGGAGCAGTGTGTAAACATGTGTCCAAAAGTGGTACTGCAGCCTCTCCCACTCTCCCTGACTCAGGTTGCCAGATATGCAGACGAATCCAGCTGGGACCATAACAGCTGAATAGACAAGAGTTTTGTCAACAACAAATCTATAACCAACACCTTTTTCACAAAGATAGAAATCCTGGTTTTATTCCTTGTTTTGTCGTTAATGATTTGAGAATCATAACGAGACCTTTTTTAGTTCTGCGCCACATGGTACTTTACCAGTGAGATTAGGGCCCTTTTAATGATGACAGATTAGGGCCCTTTAATGAGGACAGATTAGGGCACTTTAATGAGGACAGATTAGGACCCTTTACTGATGACAGATTAGGGCCCTTTAATGGTGACAGATTAGGGCCCTTTAATGATGAGATTAGGGCCCTTTAAAGATGACAGGTTAGGGCCCTTTAATAATGACGGATTAGGGGCCTTTAATGATGACAGATTAGGGCCCTTTAATGATGACAGTTTTGGGCCCTTTAACGATGACAGATTAGGGCCCTTTAATGGTGACAGATTAGGGCTCTTTAATGGTGACAGATTAGGGCCCTTTAACGATGACAGATTAGGGCCCTTAAAGATGACAGATTAGGGCCCTTTAATGATGAGATTAGGGCCCTTTAAGGATGACAGATTAGGGCCCTTTAATGGTGACAGATTAGGGCCCTTTAACGGTGACAGATTAGGGCCCTTTAATGGTGACAGATTAGGGCCCTTTAACGATGACAGATTAGGGCCCTTTAAGATTAAATGCATTAAAACATTTATGCATATTGTAAAAAAAATTCAGGAAAGCAACCGTTAAATACTTTACTTTGTTCTAAAACGAATAACATGTGATTGGAAGTTAAATTATGTAAAACACACAAAAATATGTAAAATAAATAATAATAATAAAACTAGCCCTAACTTACTCTTATGTGTTTTTGAACTTTTCCCGCGACCATAATGAGTTCGAGACCCCTGCAGCAGAAGATGGACTGTCTGCTCTTCACCCTCTTCCTCTCAGCATCCTCTTCATCTCTAATCCACCAACCCGAGGCGTGGGGATTATCGCGGAGGCCAGCCTGGTTGGCGAGCGGACGTGACAGCGGAAAAGAAAGCGTGGATTCTCGGAACAGGTGTTTTTTCTGAGTAGAGGCAGAGAGGATGATGGGAAAACACACAGAGACACCTGCTGCTCCTCCACGCACCGGGGCCGACGCCGGAGTGGGTCTGGACTGGTCTGGACTGGTCTGGACCCGCTCTGCAGCAGGTTAATGTCAATGTCAATGTCAACTTTATTTATATAGCACATTTACAACAACACCAGCTGCCCAAAGTGCTTCACAGGCACGAATGATAAAAATAAAAATAAAACAGTATAAATTACATACACATACATGTAAAAGTAAAGTGGTAAAACCTCAACTGGTGTTAAAAGCCAAGGTGTAAAAATGTGTAAAAGGTTAACAACCCCCACCATCTGCTGCTCGGGAAATGCATCCTGGAGTCTGGAGTTTAGAGAGTTCTGGACTTTTACTGCCGGTTCTGGATCAGATTTTTCAGACAAAAAAGTGAAAAAAGAGAGGGCCATGTTCACAGCCCAGAGTGGTACACTGCAAAAAGTGATGACAAATAGGCAAAAAAAAATATTAATTTGAACACATTTTGACGGCCTTAAAACAAGATTTGCCAATGATTAAAAAAATACAAGACAGTTTTAAAATATTTTCTTTTCCAATACTTCTTTAACTGATAACAGTCGTTCAGAAATATTTGAATTTCTAAATTACTTTTCCAGCCCCTAAATCTTGTTATTGTTTTCATTTCGATGTCCCGCCCTCCATCGTTTCACCAATCAGAAAGTCTGTGATCCGGGCGCCACAACTCCCCGCGTGGAGCTTATCTCACTGGTAAAGTACCATGTGGAGCTAATCTCACTGGTAAAGTACCATGTGGCGCAGAACTAAAAAAGGTCTCGTTATGATTCTCAAATCATTAACAACAAAACAAGGAATAAAACCAGGATTTCTATCTTTGTGAAAAAGGTGTTGGTTATAGATTTGTTGTTGACAAAACTCTTGTCTATTCAGCTGTTATGGTCCCAGCTGGATTCGTCTGCATATCTGGCAACCTGAGTCAGGGAGAGTGGGAGAGGCTGCAGTACCACTTTTGGCCACATTTTTACACACTGCTCCTTTACAGTTTTTCTCGGTCGCTTTGGTGCATTTTTCACATCATTCTTCACATTTGCACAACTGTTGGTGCATTTCTCAGAACAATTAGTGCAAACTGCAGAACCTTGTGGATAACCTGCAAAAGTGCGTCACTTTCTCAAAATGAAAAGTTATGTCCTCAAAAGCAAGTCCAAACGTCAATGAAACTGTCTGTGTCGTCAAAATAATATGTCCTAACAACATTGAGTATGAACATCACAGTCAAATGACTTAGTCATGTTTTCATTGTGAAAGTTTAATCTCTGTATTTTCAGTGTAAAAAAGTCAGATCTCGGAGACACTTGAGCACGACACACTATACACGACCTGTACGGCCATTTACAGTAAAAACTACAGTAAAGTTACACAAAGACTGTATTTAGAGAGTTAACTGACATTCTGTAACATATATGTGTATGTATGTGTGTATCTATGTGTGTGTGTGTGTGTGTGTGTGTGTGTGTGTATGTACAGTATGTATGTATGTACAGTATGTATGTATGTGTGTATCTATGTATGTATGTACAGTATATGTATGTATGTATTGTATGTACTTTATTTGAACAGGGACAGTGTACAGTTAAGCATTAACACAAAAGGAGAGATGCATGTACCAGGTTATAGCAGAGATGCTAATTTCCACCTGTAGTCCCTGGGCATGTGTGTATCTATGTATGTATGTACTGTATGTACTGTATGTACTGTATGTGTGTATGTGTGTGTGTGTGTGTGTGTGTGTGTGTGTCTGTGTGTATCTATGTATGTACTGTATGTGTATCTATGTATGTACTGTATGTGTATCTATGTATGTACTGTATGTATATGTATGTATGTGTATATCTATGTATGTATGTATGTACTGTATGTATATGTATGTATGTATGTACTGCATATGCTCTTTGTATTTCTGTTGCACAATGCTGTAGAATTGCAGGCACATACATGTACAGTATATACATTGAACAAAAATACAGAAATATCATTATGGTAGAACTGTGACAAAAATGAACAATAAAGCACACCTCAGAGTGAAGTTGAAATTCACCTGAGATAAATTGTTCAATTTAGGAAAGATTTACAGGAAAAAAAAGATAAAGGAATGTATGAAATTAGCTTGACAGTTATGATTTTGAGAACTAGTTCAACAATTTTGTATGTGATGACCAAAGCGATGAAATGAGAACAGTTAGTTTTATAGTGAATGACTATTCAGAAGTGATAAGTGTGTTTCATTCTGACTGACAGGACAGAAGCAAATGATAATGTTAAAAAAAACGCCGAGAATTGTATGAAAGTTATTGATACATGAACAAAAGCATTTGAAATGTGTTCAGAGGAATGAGAAACTGCCGTGATCATGTGCACCAATGACCCAATGTTGTGGAAGTTGAACTAATAGTTTTGAGAACTTTAAGTCTGATGTGAAAAATGCACCAAAGCGACTGAGAAAAACTGTAATGTCTTTTTAATTTTATTTTTTCAGGATATTTTGACTTTCTTAAACCCAGATTTTTCAATAGAACAAGCCGGTTAGCCTTATTTCAAGGAAGAATTTTTGGGAATTTTCCTGAATCGTTTAAAAACAATACATTTTTGCTTGTCCCATCGGTAAATCTTATTTTTAGATTGTCAAAATGTGCTCAAATTAAGATAAAACCACTTAATAAAATATAATGTACGAAAGGCTTGAATCATGAGTTTAAGTTTTCAACAAATATCAGATGTAAGATTATAATATTAGTTAATTTCTCTATAAATAAATAAATATGTTTTCTCTGTAAAGCTGCGGTCCAGATGTCTCCGACCAGCGCCAGTGATTCTCCAGAACCTCTCACTGTAGTGTTTGGAAATGTCTCGGTTCAAAATAATGTCGAAAACCATCATCAACCACCGATGATGTGACAATAACACAAAAAAGTGAAAAGATTCATGGTTTTACACTGGTCCAGACCAGAGCAGAGAGGATTCATGGTTTTACACTGGTCCAGACCAGAGCAGAGAGGATTCATGGTTTTACACTGGTCCAGACCAGAGCAGAGAGGATTCATGGTTTTACACTGGTCCAGACCAGAGCAGAGAGGATTCATGGTTTTACACTGGTCCAGACCAGAGCAGAGAGGATTCATGGTTTTACACTGGTCCAGACCAGAGAGGTGAACCATGAATCCTCTCTGCTCTGGTCTTTGTTTTCATCATTTGTAAAGTATAAATATTTAAATGTGGCCAAAGTTTTGAAATTGGACGAATTGGAAATGAGTAAAAATCAAACACATAATGTATGAATGTGATTAAATCAAAAATCTCATTTATTTGTGTTTTTGAAACAGAACATTTTTAAAACAAAAACCTCTTTTTCATCATTTTGGTTAAAAACATTTATTGAGTTTATTTTTGTCCTACTGAAAAATAAAACCATCGAAAGAAACAGGATTTGGCTCAAAGTGGTTCTAAACATTCTGTGGTCAGGACCAACGAGTCCCTGTCAGGACCAGGACCAGGACCAGGACCAGGACCAGGACCAGGACCAGTGTCAGGGTCAGGATCAGGATCAGGATCAGGATCAGGGTCTGGATCCGAGGCTCTGAACCGAAGTCTGGACTAAAATCTGAACTCAAGTCCCAAAGTCTGAATCTAAAGTCTGGACTAAAGTCTGGACCAAAGTCCTAAAGTCTAAACTCATGGACAAACAACTCATGACTGTTCAGTTTCTTTTGGTGAAAACAAAGGTCTGTCTTGACTCAGTTTGGAACGGTTTGGTTCTTTTTCTAAAGTGATGCATGGATCCAGATCCTTAAAGAAAATATAAATAATTATTATAACTTAACTTCCCTAATATCATCCTGGACCAGTGTGGACCAGTGTGGACCAGTGTGGACCAGTCTGGACCAGTCTGGACCCTTCACCTGGAGCCTCAGACAAACAGAGCTTCGGTCTGATCCAAACCAGACTCTCAGGCCTGACACCAGGCCTGACACCAGGTCTGACACCAGGTCTGACACCAGGCAGAGTTGGATTATTCTTTCTGGTATTTTAGATCCAGAGTTTTTCTTCAGACGCAGGAAGTGTTTTATCAGAACCATAAGAACGACACAAGAAAGACAAAGTAACGATAGTGTTTTAACGTTGCAGAGATCAAAGGACCAGGTGTGATACTATGTGTCGCAAAAGGTTCTCTGCAAAGAACAAAGTGTGCATCTGTAGGTGAAGGCCAGACCAGGAGTGAGACCAGGAGGAGAGAGACCAGCAAGAGAGAGACCAGGAGGAGAGACCAGGAGGAGAGAGACCAGGGGGAGAGAGACCAGCAGGAGAGAGACCAGCAAGAGAGAGACCAGGAGGAGAGAGGGACCAGGAGGAGTGAGACCAGGACCCAGTGAGACCAGGAGGAGTGAGACCATGACCCAGTGAGACCAGGAGCCAGTGAGACCAGGAGGAGTGAGACCAGGACCCAGTGAGACCAGCCCAGCAGCAGAGAGACCAGCAGAAGTGAGACCAGCAGCAGAGAGACCATGTGGCGGTTTGTGTTTCCTGTTTGTATGAGGCAGACAGAATTGTCCCAGTTTTATATCCGACAGATTAAACCTCTCTCAGCTCTGTCTGGATCCAAAGTCTTCTCTTCATGGTACAAACGTCAGGTTCTCTTTAAGGCAGAATCCGGTTCAGATGAAATCCTCTGCAGCAAAGTGTCCACGCTGCAGATTTTCTCTGTGATCGTCCTGAGGTTCTGTCCACAGCAGGACGTCCCGCTGCTGTCACAGACCGGACTGAGGTCTCCTGTGAGGCCCGTTCACCTGCACACAACACAGTCGAATACAAACATGTGTCAGACTGTACAACGAGTCACTTTAAGCCATGCACTAGGACTGAGGAACTGCTGCTATGGCAACCGTTTCTTTCTTTTATTGTATATAATTATATCTTGCACAGACGACATTTTTAACCATAAATTCTGACTTTTACACAAATCTGAGTGATTCTCTCTGTGCATCAGAGATCAATAAACTATCTTTTGGGCGACAGTGGCTCAGTGTATAGAGCATTGGCCTTTGAGCCTGAAGGTTGTGGGTTCGAGTCCACCACAAGACTTTCTCCACAGACTCCCACTGATGTCTGCTGTCGTTGTGTCCTTGGCAGGGCTCCAGACTAACTTTTTTCATGACCGTCCCGACACCGTCCCGAAAACCATTTGGCATCGTCCCGAAATGGATGTGAACCGTCCCAAATTTAATATGTATTTTCTAATACATTGTTTTAATTATACATTTATTATAAAAGTATTTTTATCATTGTTTTACACAATATAATGTGTAAATAAATGACTAATTTCACAATAATGCAATTTATTGGTAAAACATTCTTAAACAATAAATACAAATTGTGCAGGCAGACCCGCTTAAATCAGAGGCCAAAACTACAGAAACAGATTCAATTCGCACAGACTCACATCATCAACTAAATAATGTAAAACACTTGTTAATGTTAAAGGAACTAGATGCAAGTCGGCCATTTTATACTCACGACTGCCACCTCAGGTCAAATCTTCTACATTAAGCTTGTGCATGACTTTCCACTCTGTATAGTCCCTTTAATGTAAAAACATTAACATTTCATACAAAAAAATAGAACTGCCCAACCGGCACAAAGACTGCGTATAACTAGTGGAAGAAGCTGATTAAAGCTACAAAAAAGCAAAACATTTCTTTCTACTTATAATCATAATCTGCAAATGTGGGCCTTCGTGCCCTGTAACTGCCCCTCCACCATGCTGTCACGGCTTTTGCGGAATCGTACTCATCAGGAGGAGGGCCATGGATGGAAATCTGAAGCAGTGAGTTGAGCATTTCATTGGTCAAGCATGACCTCCAATCTGATTTAATCCGTTTCATGGCAGAAAAGCCACGCTCGCAGCAGGACGACGACATGGGGAAGACCAGTGCGATTTCTGCAATGACTTGCATGTGTTTAAACTGCCCCTCTCGACCAACCGCACCCTGCAGTACTCGCTGCCACAATACTTCTGAAGACATGTGTCTGTAACCAGGGCTGGACTGGGACAAAAAAACGGCCCGGGCATTTTTTCCTTCTTAGCGGCCCAGGCAACTCAAAAGGTTCAAGGAGCCATATTTGACAAAAAAACTGTCTGGAGCCACAAAAAAAAAAAACTGCGTTGTATAAGGCTTATATGAAGGTAACAGGGGCTGAAGCTGTATTAGCTACATTATCTACCTTAGCTACATTAGCTATATTAGCTATATTAGCCTAATATCTAAATGACAAAGTAAAGGCTACAAACACATAAAAACCATTCATGATTATCAAATGTGTATTTTCATTGCAGCATGTCCTGGAGAGAATGACGCACCACGTGACGACTCTGCTTTAAGTTTAACTTCCATTTTTTTTGCCTTCATGCAATTGTACAAATACAGTAAATAAATCTGCTTTTTGGCTCCGAGTTCACCTGCATCACTGTCTGTTCATATCCATCACAGGCTGAAGTTTGCTGGAGCTGAATGTCCTTAACGGCCTTTTCTTTCACCGTCTTTGCGAAGGTATTTGAAGTCTGAAAATAGGTGCTCTGACTTTATGATGAATGAATCTTTCAGTGAACAGTGTTTAAAGCTTCATTGTTCCTCCTGTTGCAACAAAACTTTTCATTACAAACATGAAGCAGTCCTTCCTCATTGACTGAAAGCAAATGTTCATTCTCATTCTTAGTCCAGTCTTATCAACTCTCTCTCTCTTTATCTTTGGGATCCATGCACACAGTCTATAATGCACACACGCCGGTTTGTTTACAGCAGCGGCCGCCTGGCACGGGGCCGCGTCACAGGATGTGACGCACTACGTTGACAGAAATGCTAAAATTGAATATTACTTATACAAGTTTTTGCAGCATTTAAAAACGTTAAGAATGTTTTTCCTCCTACAGAAACCGCATTCAAACTAGAAATAAAATATAGCCCTCACACTCCATTTTCAGACATTTTTGAAAAGGCTCCAGGAGCCACTTTAGGGGCACTAAAGGTTGCCGACCCCTGGTTTATACAGTATGTGGAAGCAAATACTGTAGAGGATCAGGATGTCTGCAGTTTCAACAATAACATAAAGTACAATACTCCATATTACAAGAGAGTAATAAACATGTCTCAGAGTGAGGGAGGTGGGCACAGACATGAGAATTGGTCAAAAATGTCTGAAATGCATATTGTCAGCCATTTGCTGGCTCTAAATCTGTTTAATCTGTTCACAACATATTAATTTTGGGCTCAAACATGAACTTTTAACGCAATGGAAAATTTAGGTACCCGAGCTTTAATCTAGAGGAGAGGGGAGACGCGGACTGTTTTCTGCAGCGGTGTATTTATTGGGTGCACAAATTACTCAAAGACATGCATGGTCTGTGCGCGTTTATGGTCTTGGGTACAAGGTCAAGTTGCAGCTACGCGCTCACCGTGTTGTGTTGTGAGCGGCTCCCGGTGAGCGGTTCCTGCGTCCAGCTCAGAGCCGCTGGATGCGGGAACACTGCGGTGAAATCCCGTTCGAGTAGCCAGCAGGTGCCCCGCGGACACGCGCGCTCCCCTCGAACATTTCTCAACGGATTTACACTTTTCACAAACATCTTTTTTGTATGAGGCAAACAGACCGGCCCAAATATGGGCATTGCCCGGTACGCCCGATGGCCAGTCCAGCCCTGTCTGTAACGCCTGTCCACCAGTGTCTTTAGCTCAAGCCACTCTCGTTCAGCTGCACGGACATTATTAATGCTAGAATGTGTTGTATTAAAACACGAGGCTTAGACAGACAGATGATCTAGTAGGTCACGTAATGATTTGTTCATCAATTATGGATTAACAGGGCCGAGGTGGGTCGCAGGCAGCGCGCACCAAGGCCACAAAAGGCCTCTGACCCGCTGTTGATTTCTCTGTTTTTTTATGCTAACGCTAAATAATACGGACATTAGCAAAATCTGTGCCATAATAGATATAGCTAATGTCCGTATTATTTAGTGTTAGCATTCGTTGGGGTAACAAATGCAATAAGAAGACAGTTGAATATTTCTATTAGTTGAGCAACTACCCATTCATTTGAAATAACGTTTCCTTATAAGGCCTCAAATGTATGTGTTTTGCATATTTCCCATTAATTCAATGTGTATTTTATAAAGCTAACTTGTCTATCAAACTGCAGTGTTAGCGTTAGCAGTCAACTCTTCGTTGTAATGATAAATTATCTTACCTTTAAAGTGTTTGGTGGAGGCTGGTTGGATTGCGCTTCCGAAGAGCCTGCGACAACGTTCCTGTCTTTTGGCAGCGACAACCACCGCAGCATTCTGGATTGCACCTTTACCGCTCCGTCTCTATGGACAGGGTGCCAACTGTGCAGGTGCCTGCATGCACCTGCTACGTGGTCAAACTGGGTCCGCGCAGAGAACGGAGAAGCGGGGAAATGTTTGCCCATGATTCCGCGTCAAATAAGAGCAGAACAGAATTCCCTGAGCGGGAGCTCTCTCTCTTTAATATGGAACATTAGCACTCGCTTACATAAATATATTGCCTATTTTACAAATAAAAATTGGTTAAAGGCTTTCCGTCCCGGGACCGTCCCGGGGAGAATTTCATCTCGTCCCGTGCATTTTTTTTCCCGTCCCCGGGACGACGGGACTATGTTAGTCTCGAGCCCTGGTCCTTGGGCAAGACACTTAACCTCTGGGAACAGCAGGTGCAATAGTGGGGCGGCTGCAGCTGTAAAGTGCCAAACTGCTGTTGTGTCCTTAGGCAAGACACTTCCCCACATTGCCTAGAATGAAAAAAGCGCTATTTAAAACCAATACATTTTTATGATCTTATTTTAAAAGGTGAATTTGCATCTTCTTCACCGTGAACTTTAACGAGACAGAACCTTTGAACAAACAAGACCCAGTTTGGAGTCAGTGTCTTTGTCCAAACACAAATCTAAACAAACAAAGTGAACGGAGCAGCGTCTGACACCGCTTTACATTTCAGCTCATTCTAAACCAAACTTTTTTTCCTCTGTGTGTCTTAACTTTGGTCATGGTGACAGTTTCTCGAGGTTTTTCCAGGTCTGGGCCAAAAAAGTAGTCCCTTTCCTCAAACACGAGGTTTTCATCTGGACTCATTCGTTTGTTAGCACTCTCCATGTTTTTTCATCCAGATTATTCTATTCTCACAATATCATATTATTCTTATTTTTAGATTGTTACTTTAATGTCATTTTTATTTTCTTATTGTGGAATACTATGCAAGCTGCTGTGACAACGCAATCTCCCTTTGGATCTATAAAGTCTAAGTCTAAAGCCTAGCGTACATGGACAGAGTAACTGGAGACGACTCGTTTCAAGGCGGCTTTTGGCGACTGAGAGTAGATGATGGAGATGATCAGTTGAAATCGGTCGATGTGAGCGCTCTTACAACTGGAGATAAACAGTCGATCTCTGGATTCAGTCAGTTGCCCGTGTTCTACTTTTCGGCAACTAGTCGTCCTCAGATCCGGAGATATCAACCGATGTACATGCTCCTAATAGATCCATGGCGCGCTCCAACAACATGTGTGTATTGCGTGTATTGCGCCCTCTACAGTTTATGCCAGAGATTCCACCATGTCCACAGAGCACCAGCCCCTCACTGATCCTCCTGCAGGTGCTGAGTGCACAGGAGCTGAGATCTTTCAGTGAGGGCTTCAGGCAAAGTGGGGTTAAGTGTCTTGCCCAAAGACACAACAACAGCAGACATCAGTGGGAGTCGGTGGAGAAGGTCTCATGGTGGGCTCGAACCCACGACCTACAGGCTACCAACTTAGCCACTGTGGCCCAGCAGTTTCAGGCGATAACACAAAATGGCGGCTCACCCGGGCGTCGTACTCGAGTACAAACGGAGGGATGTCGATCTGCTCTGGTCTGATGCAGGTGAAGAGCTGCTGCAGGTTGTCAAGGTAACGCACTTTCTCTTTGATCCCGGACACGCTGAAGGTGGTGAAAAACCAAGTCGAGACCTGCGAGAGATTACACACACACACACACACACACGCAAACACACACACACAGAGACACACACACACAGACACGCGCACACGCACACACATGCGCACACGCACACACACGCAAACACACACACAGAGAGACACACACAAACACACGCACACACACAAGCAAACACAGAGAAACACACACAGAGACACACACACACAGACACGCGCACACGCACACACATGCGCACACGCACACACGCAAACACACACACACACAGACAGACACGCGCACACGCACACACATGCGCACACGCACACACATGCGCACACGCGCAAACACACACACAGAGAGACACACACAAACACACGCACACACACAAGCAAACACAGAGAAACACACACAGACACACAGAGAGACACACACAGACAGACACGCGCACACGCACACACATGCGCACACGCACACACGCAAACACACACACAAACACACGCACACACACAAGCAAACACACAGACACACACACACAGACAGACACACGCACACGCACACACACACACGCGCACACGCACACACACACACACACACACACAGACAGACACGCGCACACACGCACACAAACACACACACAAACACACACACAATAAGATAAATAAGCAGCAGTAGAGTAGTACTGTGTTAATGCCTGTCTTAAACTTCCTCCATGACCATATTCAGATCAGAGGTTTACATTAGAGAGGAAGTCATTAAATATTGATACTGTCTGAAGGGCCCGGGGCCACTGGAGCCACAGGGGCCGCTGCCAAAACACACACAGTCTTACCTTGGAACGAAACGAAGGGTGGACGAAGTAAAAGGCTTTGAGATTTTTTTTATACCTGCAAAACAAAGAAAACAAATGACGTTGGTTTCTTTTGTTTAAAGATGAACCTTTGTGTTAAAACTCAAAGTGTGAACTCGGCGGAAACTCTGCGCCCACCACATCTTTTACGTCACAAGTTACCGGTAAATGCTGTGTCAGGATTAAGAACGGGTCAAGAACATTGACCCAAGATCATGATCTAAAAGTTAAGTGTGAACTATTAATGGGACAGAAAGTCAAAAAGTTATCTGGGTTTTAGTTAAAGCAGCAATAAGTAAGATTTCCATGTCAAGACAACGGGCCCTAATCTGTCATCATTAAAGGGCCCTAATATGTCATCATTAAAGGGCCCTAATATGTCATCATTAAAGGGCCCTAATCTGTCATCATTAAAGGGCCCTAATATGTCATCATTAAAGGGCCCTAATCTGTAATCATTAAAGGGCCCTAATCTGTCATCATTAAAGGGCCCTAATATGTCATCATTAAAGGGCCCTAATCTGTCATCATTAAAGGGCCCTAATCTGTCATCATTAAAGGGCCCTAATATGTCATCATTAAAGGGCCCTAATCTGTCATCAATAAAGGGCCCTAATCTGTTATCATTAACTCATTCACCGCCATTGACGTCAATCGCTTTTTTTTTTTGTTTTTTTCTTTCTATGGCTCGTCAAGGCTCTTGTGCATCCTGTGTCAACATTTCAGACCTGTAAACACTTTGGAACCGATCCTGTAGGGGGCAGAGGTGACACTGTGGCCAGATCCAGGGAGGGAGAAGGGGGCATGTGGTGCTGTGAGCAGCAAACAGCCAGAGGAGCAGCCATGATTACACAAGGACCGCGGATCTGAAAAGCTCACGCAGCTAACGCTGTCTGAGAGCCTGTTCAGTCATCAAACGGATAAATATGAAGCAGCTAGATGCCACGATGCTAGTTCTTCAGGTTTTAGTTAACATGAGACTCCAGGATCCTCGGAGCCTTCCCCCTCCCTCCTCGTCCAGCAGCAGCAGCAGCAGCGGCAGCAGCAGGAGGCGTGTGAATCTGGCATGCAGCATTAGCTGCCAGGGAGCTATGGATGATGTTACCGTGTGGTTTATAGAAGGGACAGGGGGAGGTGATCCATGGCAGACCGGTGAGCAGGACCCATGATGAGCAACAAGTGTTAGATTTACCGCACCATGTGCATTCTGCTGCGGTGCGTCTCACTGTGGAGGGTGCGTCAGGAGCGCGCCCGCTGCTGCTTTGGAACAGGGAGAGAGACTCTGTTGCTCTGATCCCAGAGTCTGCGTGATTTTGCGTTCAAACATTGAGAGATTCTGGAGGGAGTGATAGCAATCACTGGCTTATACTATAGTAAAAATAAACATAAAGTAGTGTTTTTAGCGAGTATTGAAGAGTTTTTTTTATCTCAATGTCATAGCTGCTGAAGCCAAAACACTTGTTATAATGTGAAAATGTATGGTGATTTTATATTTTTCTTTGTGTCGTAGATTGTTGACCCCAGGACCCCAAAATGCTGCAGCAGAGCTTGGTTTGGATCAGCAGCTGACTTCTGCAGCTCTTCATAACTGATGAACTTCTGGACCTGGATCTTGTGTTGAACAGACAAAGCTGTATGCAGCACAATATTTCAGTGCACACACACAGCGTCTCCCATTCAGCAGAGAAAATGCATGAAGCCAGTGACAGTCTGCAGCTAAAAACCTTTTTTGGTTTGACATTTCTCACTGGGTTTGTAAAAATAAAATAAAAAACGAATCTGGAAATGTATTGGGAGTGCGGAGGAAGTAGATCCCACACTTCAGCAGAGTGTGGGATCACCCAATTACTATTCTTTATAAACTAAAGTAAAATTGTTTCACAAAGTGTTATTTTTTACTGTATATTTGTGTACAAAGTGTTTTTATTGTATACAAGTTGAATATTGTATGTGTACATAAGACAATCCTTTGAGTGTATTGTATGTACACGTTTAATTTGTTTAAAAATAATTATACATTAAAAATACAATTCAAAGTATTGTTTCTGTTTTGTGTCATAGTAAGAAACTGTCATACATTGTAAAATATCAGTAAAGACAAAAAAACCCACTTTTCTGCTTGAAAATGCGCGTTTCACAAAAAGGCTGTTTTCTCCAAATCTTGGTCAGGAAACAGCATTTTGTGTGAAAGTTACCTATGTTGCACTCTCAATTGCTAAAAAACTAAAAGGGTTAGAAACTTTTTTTTTTATGAAAGCCAAGGGATAGAGCTTTCATTTGATATGTTTCATACTTGTTTCAACCAAGGGCTCACATTTCTATGCGGTTCAAAAAAACACAAAAAATGTCCAAAATCTCTGGCAGTATGAGGGATGCTGCTTTTTAAATGGCTGGCAGTGAATGAGTTAAAGGGCCCTAATCTGTCATCATTAAAGGGCCCTAATCTGTCATCATTAAAGGGCCCTAATCTGTCATCATTAAAGGGCCCTAATCTGTCATCATTAAAGGGCTGAATCATTAAAGATTAGCGGGCCTCGCCCATATTTGGGCATCATCTGGTCCTCCCGGTTCTGTGCAGTGGATGAGCTCCCATGATGCTTTGCGCCAAATAAGCGTGTGTGGCTCTCATGCACGTGCACAGAGGGGCTCGGCCGCGCTCTGACCAATCAGAGGGCAGCGCTCTGACCAATCAGAGCTGATCAGAGCAGAGTTAGAGCGGGAAGGAAATGAGCAGAGTTTGTGGCAGTAAAGTGTGGATTTAAAGAAAACCGAAGGATTTAAGAAGAAAAAAAGTTCAGGACGACAAGGGACACTAACATCTGACCTCTATGAAAACTGTAGGTTCTCTGTCAGGTTCTCTGTCAGGTTCTCTGTCAGGTTCTGAGTTCTGTTCAGCTGAGGTCGAGCCGTTTTAGTTTACATTGAGTTCTATGGGGATAATTTCTGAGTAGTCCACGTGAATTTAGTCTGGTTTAGTCTGGTTTAGTCTGCAGAATCAACAGTTAAGACACAAAAGTATAGAACACATGGTCTTGAAGGTGTGAAAGAATCATTTTCCCTGTGACCCAGAGATTCAGGACAGTCTCTGTCATTACAACACAGCCTTGTTTAGACGATGACAGCCAGACATTAGTCATTAAACTGAAAGGTCACGTAAATGTAGCAACGGTAAAAAATAAAAAATATACAAGCAATTCTAAAATCCTTACAAGGCTATTGTAGTTAAGTAAGTAATGTTTATCTATATAGCGCCTTTCTCAGACCAGAGTCAAAGCGGTTTATAGATGTGAGCATTAGTCTGTCACTCCACACAGAGATGGGAGGGGCCAGCACAGAAGGCACATTGAGATCAATTGTACAGTTTTTAGTGGTAGGGGAAACCGGAGCACCCGGAGGAAACCTACGCAGACACGGGGAAGACATGCAAACTCCACTCAGAAAGGCCCTGTTCCGACCGGGATTCGAACCCAGGACCTACTTGCTGAGAAGAGAGACTGTTTATCTGTCGCCAGCTCCAGGTCTCTACACGGACCTACGACTGAGACAGAAATCTGAGTCATCTACGGCATTTATAAAAACAATTTAAAGATCCCTGTCACTCTTTGTCACTGTTTGAGATTTTGGGCTGAGATCTGACTTGTTCCATACGCAGTTTTATTATGCCTTACTCTTTTCTTTACCTCTGTCTTCTTTGACTGTTTGCACCGAGAGCCAAAATGACTTCCTGTTACTTACATGGCCATATTTTTAAAACAAATGTGGAAGTAAGAGAGTGATGCCTTGAGCACAGAGCAAGTAGTGGGAGAGAGGTGTAGGGTCGGAGAGTGTTTTGGGCCCGTGTGTTGTGTGTGTTTAGTGTTGTCTGTCTTATACCATCCGTGGTATAACTGTTTGTAATGTACCGTTGTATGATTGAGAATTCTACTGCATGATATTGTTTAAAACACTTTGTCTGATGGAGTTGGATTTAAAACCATGACAGACATAGTTAGCTTCCATTTCGTAGCAAAGTACAATCACATTAATCTTTTCATAGTAGTCAGTGAGTGTGTATGACTGATGTAAATAGCTGTGGTTATAAATGTATTTAAAAACAAGAACAATTACATTTTCTTTCACCAAAATCTGGGTTTGAGTTTTAACAGTCTCTGCGGGTTTGGAAAATCTTGCGAGAAATGAGAAGTTGTTTTGGTGAGACGCTCAGAGCCAAACTTCAGCTGCGTTGGCTCAGGCTGCGGCCACTGCTCCACAAAGAACAAGAAGCAAACATTTTACAGACCATTACATGTATCTCACACGCAGTGAAGAATGTTGTTTTTGTCCCGATGAGAAAATGTCCAGTCTTTTCAATGATACATCAAAATCCTGCTGCTAATACAAAAATTGCCACTTTTTTTATTGTACATAATTATTTGCTGCACAGACTATATTTCAACCTAAAGCTGCACTAACTGACTTTGTGATTTCGAAGCAGTGGTTTTAAAAGTAAGCGCTGGCCTCGCTCTTTCTCCTCCCCTCCCCGCTCCCACGAAGCTATCGCCCCCCACTACCCCACACCCACTGTTGTTTACGGAGCTCACGTCTCACATGGATCTCACATTTGAACGTGGCGTGACCATAGAATGATAGAACCAGGAAGTGCGGAGGAACGAGACTTTCTTTTGTCTGTTTCTCTGAGTAAGCAAAAACCGGTAACAAAGACACAGGAAGTTTCAGGTTAGCCTCCGCCGCTTGTTTACCTCAGCTGTCTGTGCTAACCACAGACCTGTCTGTGCTAACCACAGACCTGTGGGGGCCAGTGGTCCGCTGTGATTGGTCACAATCTGGACCCCAAACAGATTCTCTTCCTTGTTGCACAAAAACTCGACCTAAAATAAAATGCCACAACAGCACAAATCTGTGCTACTTTTTCTTCAAAAGGACGTTTATCCCAATACACTACATGGATATGTGTTGGATTTAATTAATGAATACAAAAATAAAGTTAAGTAATGCAGCTTAAGTCTATCTTATATCATAACATAGTGTTTATAATAGTAGTCCCATATATTTTGTGAAAATATTTTGTTTATCGATTCCTGCTCAATGCGTCTAGTTTCTGTCTATTCATAGCTCTGTTCACTCTCCGTGGGTGGTTTGGAGTTTGAGAGATCTGTGTTGTATCGTTGCCGTCAGCAGCAAAGAAACAGGAAACTGAAACTCAGGCTTTGCCTATGGATCATCAAGTACGATGGTCTCAGGTCGAAGTAAACCACTGATGGTGCCAAAGCGTCTAAATGATGAACTTACACACAAGCGCTTATAAGTATTCTTTAGCTCTGCCTTTGAGATCTATAAAGCACTTACCCATTGTCTTCTTTATGGTGTGTATGTGTGGCTCAAACTGAAGTGAACCATTGTCAGGTTTCACACGTTTCGATCTGTCAGTTTTCAGAGTTCAGAGCAGACTTTAACAGAGTTTTGGGGTAAAAAGGACCATTCACATCTGGTGTCACTGGGGTCTCCTGCCCCGGACACAACCCGTGCTCCGGGCTGCAGCTGCACCTGTGTGGCCCCATCAACAAACTATACTTTCAACAACTCACAGTAACAAGGTCTGCGACACAAGAGTCTGGGCTTTACACATGTTTACACCACTTTAGTCGAGATTTACACATTCTCCACCAAAGTATATTAGAGACATGTTAGGGCCGTATGAACCAGGCCAGACTCTGAGGAGCACAGGGACTGGCCTCCTGCTGGGACTCTGAGGAGCACAGGGACTGGCCTCCTGCTGGGACTCTGAGGGACCACAGGGACTGGCCTCCTGCTGGGACTCTGAGGGACCACAGGGACTGGCCTCCTGCTGGGATTCTGAGGAGCACAGGGACTGGCCTCCTGCTGGGACTCTGAGGGAGCACAGGGACTGGCCTCCTGCTGGGACTCTGAGAAGCACAGGGACTGGACTCCTGCTGGGACTCTGAGGGAGCACAGGGACTGGCCTCCTGCTGGGACTCTGAGGGAGCACAGGGACTTGGCCTCCTGCTGGGACTCTGAGGAGCACAGGGACTGGCCTCCTGCTGGGACTCTGAGGGAGCACAGGGACTGGCCTCCTGCTGGGACTCTGAGGGAGCACAGGGACTGGCCTCCTGCTGGGACTCTGAGGGACCACAGGGACTGGCCTCCTGCTGGGACTCTGAGGGAGCACAGGGACTGGCCTCCTGCTGGGATTCTGAGGAGCACAGGGACTGGCCTCCTGCTGGGACTCTGAGGAGCACAGGGACTGGACTCCTGCTGGGACTCTGAGGAGCACAGGGACTGGACTCCTGCTGGGACTCTGAGGAGCACAGGGACTGGACTCCTGCTGGGACCCAGAATCAGAACTAAACATGGGGAGGCTGCATTTCAGATTCATGGAGCTTTAATCTGGAACAATCGTCCTGAAGATGTGAGACAGGATGTTTAAAACCAGGATATGGCATATGGGGTTAAGTGTCTTGCCCAAGGACACAACGACAGCAGACATCTTCTATACAATTTTATAACACGTCTGAAGTTCTGTTTTTTTCCTCAAGAAGCGACTTTGCGGTCCTGAAATAATTACACTTTTTTATGAACGCATGAAGATAAATGAAGACATAAATACACTTTGTTTTTGGGTTGGTAAAATGAGGACCAAAGTAAGAGTAAGATTTATAACTGCACATTACCCTATAATGGCTTTCTCTAAATCTACTTGTTTGGAGCTGAAATCTACCTCTTACTTGGTTTTAGGCACTTTATCCACCAAACTGCATCTGAACTAGGGTTTAATATTTTTCCCGAAAATGAGACGTATCAAATCCCGGGAAAAGACGACGCCTTTCCCGGGAAATCCCGGGAAATAGCTGTTGTTTTTAGCCCAAGTAATGTATGATATCACTCAAATATATAATCCAACAAAAGCTGCCATCTCCACTAGTGTTTCACCAAGTGACTTGCTAGCTTTGCTAAAGTAGCCATAGCGTTTTCAGATGTTTTGTTGATGGGCTTTCTTCAGGAATTTCACTATTATGAGATTCTAAATGTCTGCGCAATCCACTTGTCGAAAAGTGACGTGCGGTGTGGTTTGGAGGCACTGACTTCAGCCCTGTCAGATGAACATCTATCATATAAATCAACAGAACCTACAGAGCGGCTTATTCACAATTAGTTTGGCTACAGCAGAATGTTTTCCATGGCCCGCATTGTTTGCTCTAACAAAACGCAAAAGTACGTATAAGGCACATTTCCAATTGTGTTATGGGTCTTACCTTAGTTATTAATGAACAGCACAGACCACTTCAGTTCAGACCAGTTTCATGTTTAAGTCCAGATAATAGTTTGAGCGTAGATATGTAATCCCCCATTTGGAAATAAGCCCAAAGAGTTTTAAAGCGTAAAACAAAACGGGTGCCACCTCCATAAACTTCTCTGTGTTTTTGCTGCAGCCGACTCTCGGGCGCATCCAATTTCTAATATCAACCTTCTTACCCTTCTCCTCTCTTCCTTATCATTCCTATCGTCATTGTAAGCAGAAAATTACCCCAAATGCATTTTATATGATTTTAAAATGTGTTATATGTATGTTAGCCAAACCTGTTGCTGCCCTTAGCAGATGGAAAAAAAGAAAGGAGCTTTCTGATAGAATTGGACGTAACCAAATTCTGGGCTCACATGCGCCCCGTACCCTGAGCCTGGCCTCATTACAAGTCGTGGTTTAGCACGATTAAGACCCATATTTGTTGTCAAAAACACAATTTAGGAGCCATCCTCTCAGCTGTAGACATGTTGATTGTAAATGAAATATGTTTGAACTTTGAACAACAATAAACGTGCTTTATAATAGGAGCGCACTGTATTTTTTTTTAACTTTCATTTCCCGTTTCCCGTCATAACATTTCCCGGGAATCGGGAAATAGTTTTCATCAGATTTCCCGGGAATCCCGTATCCCGGGATTAAACCCTAATCTGAACCATTTGATAAAGGCTAATAATAAAAAATGAAAAATAATGAATAGTTTTATTAGTGCTCCTACATCTTAGAAAATCCACACATTACATGCTTTCTTCGAGGAGTGAACATTAAAGGGTTTTGTGCAGCCATGAGATAGACTGACATTTGCATATGGCATGTTATCTGTATAAAAGTTACACTCTTAACAAAATGTTTCACTTCTGCTTTATTCTAAGCTGTCAAAGTTCAACTATCGACCACAACACATGACTTCAGTTACTTGACTTGGCTTCAAAGCGAAATTAAATGGGAATAGAAATCAAAATGTCCTCACTGCTAAATACCAGGAAGAGCTAAAACACATCTGGGGGTGTTCCGAGCATGTATTTATCCATCTTAAAACAAAAACATACGATTGTTTTAATTTGCAGATTCTGGAGATGGCGAAGTCCAAGAAACAGATCAGCCGCATCGCACTAGTGCTTTTAAAAGGCACATAATGCAACTGTAGCGGTCGCAGTCTGCTCATGTGTTGGATGGACAGGGGCCAGTTGGAAAAGCAGAGAGCCATGTGGACCAATTTGAAACTCATTTAGAAATCTTTGATGTGACGTGATTCAGGGCTTTGCTGGTTTTTCTGGTTTGTGTCTGAGGATGTTTGTGGCACTAACTTTGGCTTTGATATGTGGACCCAAAATGGCAGGTGGGAGCAGGACTCTTGCAGATTTAGAACCCTAGTCTGTGTCATGGTTGAGTTCAGCTAATGTGATGAAGTAATGCTCCCAGATGCAGCTATGAAGAGGTAGAAAAACAAGCTATCTGTGTGTAATTCCCTATGTGACCACCAGAGGGAGGAGTGGAAGTTGTTTGGTTCCAACTTGTAAAGAGCGTCATTTTACCTGAGACCCATGTCCAGACTCATGTCCAGACCCATGTCCAGACCCATGTCCAGACCCATGTCCAGACCCATGTCCAGACCCATGTCCAGACCCATGTCCAGACCCATGTCCAGACCCATGTCCAGACCCATGTCCAGACCCATGTCCAGACCCATGTCCAGACCCATGTCCAGACCCATGTCCAGAACCATGTGCAGAACCATGTGCAGAACCATGTGTACACGTCACTCACTTGGCGTCCACGATGTCATAGAGGCTCTTGAGGAAGTCTGCGTCCAGGTGGTTGTGCTCGGCCGTCAGCGTGTGGAAGTAAACAACCACGAACTCCTTTGCTGTGATGTGGTCCATGATGTGGATGAAGTACAATAAGGCCTGGAACAGACCGGACAGAGACAGACCGGATCTTAGGCACAGACGGGAAACAAACTCATTTGAAACGGTTTTGGAGATTTAAAAATCCTTCACTAAAAATTCACTCTGTACACGGTGATGGTAAACTTATGCTTTAGTCACAGCTACTGGGGCAGACCGGGGAAGACCGGGGTAGACTGGGGTAGACTGGGGTAGACTGAGGCAGACACTGAGACACACAGAGACACAGAGACAATGAGACACACACTGAGAAACACACACACTGAGACTGAGACACACACTGAGACATACACAGAGACACAGAAACACACAGACACACGCTGAATCACACACACTGAGACACACAGACAGAAACACACACACACACTTTGACACATGCACACACATGGAAAATAATTTTTTCAATCTTTGCCATGAAAAACTGAAAATCAACACCTTCTCAAGTTACAAAAAGTCATGTCTGAGGAGCCCGAAAAACAATTACTTTTTCAATGTCTATGAGATGAACCGGGATGTTCCGTCCGACCAGAACCATGACGGTCCGACCGCACAGATCCACACCTGCCACACACAGAACAAAACAGGTCAAAACATAAAAAAAAACAAGGTCAAAAAATTAGACTTTTACTTTTAATGTGAGGATAAAGGAGTCAAATACAGGAGAACGGCCAAAACTGTCAAAAACCATACATGAATACACTTTTATCTCAGTATACCAGTAAAAAAAATAACATGACATTTTATCCTCAAAAAACATCTCTTTTTATTCCCAAAAGTTAATGAAAACATGTTTAAAGCTTTGTTTGTTTTCTGTGAGATTAGTCCGAGTTGTGGTTTTGGATTCTACTTTTGTCCCGTGCTCAAAAAGTCAAGTCTGTCAGTTTTGTAGCAGAACTATGAACAGAAACAGGCTGAGATAACAGAGCTCATCGCTTACATCAGAGGTTCTCAAAGTGTGGGGAGGGGGAGATGCAGGATAGTACAGTAAGCTAAATGACACTGCTATCATAAGATATACAACATTAGTGACACATTACAATCTGCAGTCAGGGCTGAGGCTTATATTGAGAGACCAGAGAGAGAGACCAGGGAGAGAGACCAGGAAGAGAGACCAGAGAGAGAGACCAGGGAGAGAGACCAGGAAGAGAGACCAGAGAGAGAGCAGAGAGAGAGCAGAGAGAGACCAGAGAGAGAGCAGAGAGAGACTAGAGAGAGAGCAGAGAGAGACCAGAGAGAGAGACCAGAGAGAGAGACCAGAGAGACCAGAGAGAGACCAGAGAGAGACCAGAGAGAGAGCAGAGAGAGAGCAGAGAGAGACCAGAGAGAGAGACCAGAGAGAGAGCAGAGAGATAGACCAGAGATAGAGACCAGAGAGAGACCAGAGATAGAGACCAGAGAGAGACCAGAGAGAGAGACCAGAGATAGAGACCAGAGAGAGAGCAGAGAAGAGAGACCAGAGATAGAGACCAGAGAGAGAGCAGAGAGAGACCAGAGAGAGAGCAGAGAGAGAGCAGAGAGAGAGCAGAGAGAGACCAGAGAGAGACACCAGAGAGAGACCAGAGAGAGAGCAGAGAGAGACCAGAGAGAGACCAGAGAGAGACCAGAGAGAGAGCAGAGAGAGAGACCAGAGATAGAGACCAGAGAGAGAGACCAGAGAGAGAGCAGAGAGAGACCAGAGAGAGACCAGAGATAGAGACCAGAGAGAGAGCAGAGAGAGACCAGAGAGAGAGACCAGAGAGAGAGAGCAGAGAGAGAGACAGAGATAGAGACCAGAGAGAGAGCAGAGAGAGAGACCAGAGATAGAGACCAGAGAGAGAGCAGAGAGAGAGCAGAGAGAGAGCAGAGAGAGACCAGAGAGAGAGACCAGAGAGAGAGCAGAGAGAGAGACCAGAGAGAGAGACCAGAGAGAGATCAGAGAGACCAGAGAGATACCAGAGAGGACTGTGAGCTTCATGTTCTGGAGGTTCTTTATAAAACCAGACTTTTAACCAAGCTCTTAGAATAATCAATGACTTTTCTGACCCCTGGAAAAGCCATGTTCCAGCTTCTTCCCTCTGGCAGAAGATATCGTTCACTGAGATGCAGGACATCACAGTGATTACACAGAGTCAATTGTTTACTGTTTTCTGTATTTTTTAATCTTGTTTCATTCATGTACTTGTCTGGTGCACACTGGGGACTTTTGCAAATGTATTCCAATGTGGTTTTACTGCAAATGGCAAATGAATGAATCTGAATCTGACAATGGGCTCAGCAACACTGCCCTCTAGTGTCTGAGAAGTGAAGTGACGGCAGAAGCACGTACCTGTCTGATACAAGGCTTTCAGAGCAGCAATGTCGGACAGATCTTCAGCTCGAGCTCGACACAACCAGCGATTGTAACTAAAAACAACAAATACATCCACAATAATTCATATATATGTTTGAATATGGAGCACGTAGTGTGTATTAGGGCTGCACGATATAAAAAATATTGTTATCGCAATATTTGTACGTGTGATATCCATATCGAAAAGATGTGCGATAATTGTTATATTTTTAAGACAAAAATATTGCAATAATACTGTCATCAAAATACTAAACAGTCTAATTTCCAATATTGTGCAGCCCGAGTGTGTGTAATGTTAGCACCCACTTCCTCTGGTGCTGTTTCTGCGCCGCGGCCTCAGACGTCTGGCCCTGGAGAATGAGTTTTCGCTGTTTGTCCACGTCGCCTTCCATTCGGGCGAAGGCGTGAGTCCCGACCTGCCCCAAGTCCAGCTCCAGGCTTTCCTCAGTGTCCGAGTCCTCTGTGGAGTCAAAAAACAGACTTTACCATAATATACACAATCCAGGACATCGTTACTTAAACATGCAGCCAGTGATTCTTTCCAGACGCATTTTTTTAAATATTGTGGAAAACGTCCCTAAACCCCAAAAGTATCAAGTTATTATGTGTTTTCAAATAGTAATGGAATTGCCCGGATGTCTATAGTCTCCAAAAATGAATAAAACATATTTTGGAGTGGACCGATAAAATAAACCAATGGGATTTGTTCATTCCCAACGAACCAATGGGATGTGTTTACCGCCTTCACCCTCTTCCTGTTTCTCAGACTGCACCGGAGTTATCGGATTTTCTAAAACCTAAAATGGCTGAACAGAAAATCCAATTTCACGTTTGCTTCACTCTCCCTGTGACAAAAAGGGAGGGGGGAGTGGTTTGGTGGAGAGGGAGGGGAGGGGGGAGTGGTTTGGTGGAGAGGGAGGGGAGGGGGGAGTGGTTTGGTGAAGAGGGAGGGGAGGGGGGAGTGGTTTGGTGAAGAGGGAGGGGAGGGGGGAGTGGTTTGGTGGAGAGGGAGGGGAGGGGGGAGTGGTTTGGTGAAGAGGGAGGGGAGGGGGGAGTGGTTTGGTGAAGAGGGAGGGGAGGGGGGAGTGGTTTGGTGGAGAGGGGAGGGGAGGGGGGAGTGGTTTGGTGAAGAGGGGAGGGGAGGGGGGAGTGGTTTGGTGAAGAGGGAGGGGAGGGGGAGTGGTTTGGTGAAGAGGGAGGGGAGGGGGGAGTGGTTTGGTGGAGAGGGGAGGGGGGAGTGGTTTGGTGGAGAGGGAGGGGAGGGGGGAGTGGTTTGGTGAAGAGGGAGGGGAGGGGGGAGTGGTTTGGTGAAGAGGGAGGGGAGGGGGGAGTGGTTTGGTGGAGAGGGGAGGGGAGGGGGGAGTGGTTTGGTGAAGAGGGGAGGGGAGGGGGGAGTGGTTTGGTGAAGAGGGAGGGGAGGGGGAGTGGTTTGGTGAAGAGGGAGGGGGAGGGGGGAGTGGTTTGGTGGAGAGGGAGGGGAGGGGGGAGGGGGAGTGGTTTGGTGGAGAGGGAGGGGAGGGGGGAGTGGTTTGGTGAAGAGGGAGGGGAGGGGGGAGTGGTTTGGTGAAGAGGGAGGGGAGGGGGGAGTGGTTTGGTGGAGAGGGGAGGGGAGGGGGGAGTGGTTTGGTGAAGAGGGGAGGGGAGGGGGGAGTGGTTTGGTGAAGAGGGAGGGGAGGGGGAGTGGTTTGGTGAAGAGGGAGGGGAGGGGGGAGTGGTTTGGTGGAGAGGGAGGGGAGGGGGGGGGGGGAGGGGGGGGAGTGGTTTGGTGGAGAGGGAGGGGAGGGGGGAGTGGTTTGGTGGAGAGGGGAGGGGAGGGGGGAGTGGTTTGGTGAAGAGGGGAGGGGAGGGGGGAGTGGTTTGGTGAAGAGGGAGGGGAGGGGGGAGTGGTTTGGTGAAGAGGGAGGGGAGGGGGGAGTGGTTTGGTGGAGAGGGAGGGGAGGGGGGAGTGGTTTGGTGAAGAGGGAGGGGAGGGGGGAGTGGTTTGGTGGAGAGGGAGGGGGGGGGGAGTGGTTTGGTGGAGAGGGAGGGGAGGGGGGAGTGGTTTGGTGGAGAGGGAGGGAAGGGGGAGTGGTTGGTGGAGAGGGAGGGGAGGGGGGAGTGGTTTGGTGGAGAGGGAGGGGAGGGGGGAGTGGTTTGGTGGAGAGGGAGGGGAGGGGGGAGTGGTTTGGTGGAGAGGGGAGGGGAGGGGGGAGTGGTTTGGTGAAGAGGGAGGGGAGGGGGGAGTGGTTTGGTGAAGAGGGGAGTGGTTTGGTGAAGAGGGAGGGGGGAGTGGTTTGGTGGAGAGGGAGGGGAGGGGGGGGGGGGGGAGTGGTTTGGTGAAGAGGGAGGGGAGGGGGGAGTGGTTTGGTGGAGAGGGAGGGGACGGGGGAGTGGTTTGGTGGAGAGGGAGGGGAGGGGGGGAGTGGTTTGGTGGAGAGGGAGGGGACGGGGGAGTGGTTTGGTGGAGAGGGGAGGGGGGAGTGGTTTGGTGGAGAGGGAGGGGAGGGGGGAGTGGTTTGCAGTTGGTGTTACGGCTAAGCTAACAAAATGGCCGCACCTTTAAATATACTTTATTAAATCCATCTTGAGGCATCTATTGAGTTAGCGCTACAGAATATTTATTTAAAATACAGAACAAATGCAGATGTACAATCAGTGTTTCTCTTCAGGCATCAGTGAAACCATGTGCGGTGTTTTAATCTGCATCAGACTTTGATTTCTGGTGTTTGTTTGGTTTGGATCACACCATGAAGCATCACTGCAGCCGCCAACCAGAGGTCTGTGAGGACAAGGAGGTCTGTGAGGACAAGGAGGTCTGTGAGGACAAGGAGGTCTGTGAGGACAAGGAGGTCTCTCTATTGGACCATAGGGTGCGACCACATGGTATTGGACCATAGAGAGAGACCACATGGTATTGGACCATAGAGAGAGACCACATGGTATTGGACCATAGAGAGAGACCACATGGTATTGGACCATAGGAAGAGACCACATGGTATTGGACCATAGAGAGACCACATGGTATTGGACCATAGGGAGGGACACATGGTATTGGACCATAGAGAGAGACCACATGGTATTGGACCATAGAGAGAGACCACATGGTATTGGACCATAGAGAGAGACCACATGGTATTGGACCATAGGAAGAGACCACATGGTATTGGACCATAAAGAGACCACATGGTATTGGACCATAGGGAGGGACACATGGTATTGGACCATAGGGAGAGACCACATGGTATTGGACCATAGGGAGAGACCACATGGTATTGGACCATAGGGAGAGACCACATGGTATTGGACCATAGGGAGAGACCACATGGTATTGGACCATAGAGAGAGACCACATGGTATTGGACCATAGAGAGAGACCACATGGTATTGGACCATAGGGAGAGACCACATGGTATTGGACCATAGGGAGAGACCACATGGTATTGGACCATAGGGTGAGACCACATGGTATTGGACCATAGGGAGAGACCACATGGTATTGGACCATAGGGAGAGACCACATGGTATTGGACCATAGGGAGAGACCACATGGTATTGGACCATAGGGAGAGACCACATGGTATTGGACCATAGGGAGAGACCACATGGTATTGGACCATAGGGAGAGACCACATGGTATTGGACCATAGGGAGAGACCACATGGTATTGGTCCATAGGGAGAGACCACATGGTATTGGACCATAGGGAGAGACCACATGGTATTGGACCATAGGGAGAGACCACATGGTATTGGACCATAGGGAGAGACCACATGGTATTGGACCATAGAGAGAGACCACATGGTATTGGACCATAGGGAGAGACCACATGGTATTGGACCATAGGGAGAGACCACATGGTATTGGACCATAGGGAGAGACCACATGGTATTGGACCATAGGGAGAGACCACATGGTATTGGTCCATAGGGAGAGACCACATGGTATTGGACCATAGGGAGAGACCACATGGTATTGGACCATAGGGAGAGACCACATGGTATTGGACCATAGGGAGAGACCACATGGTATTGGACCATAGGGAGAGACCACATGGTATTGGACCATAGGGAGAGACCACATGGTATTGGACCATAGGGAGAGACCACATGGTATTGGACCATAGGGAGAGACCACATGGTATTGGACCATAGGGAGAGACCACATGGTATTGGACCATAGGGAGAGACCACATGGTATTGGACCATAGGGAGAGACCACATGGTATTGGACCATAGGAAGAGACCACATGGTATTGGACCATAGGGAGAGACCACATGGTATTGGACCATAGGGAGAGACCACATGGTATTGGACCATAGGGAGAGACCACATGGTATTGGACCATAGGAAGAGACCACATGGTATTGGACCATAGGGAGAGACCACAGTCATTCTTGTGAATCTATGCCACATTCAGTTCTATTTTTAAATGACTTTTAAAGAATTAAACCAGTTCGTTCACTTTGGCACAAAAGACTGGAGTTGTTTTCTAAAGAGTTCATTACAGTCTTATGTAATGGAACATTTAAAATCAAGTCCAACAACCAATTCAACAGTTGCTTTTCTGACAACTCAATAAATAAGATTGTGTGCAGTTTATGGAACAAAGTAACACCTGATGTGGAGTCCTCACAGTCGGAGTTCACTGCAGCGTACCTTCTAAAGTCCCGGGTTTCTCTGCGATCCGGATCTGCCGCTCTGGGACCACGGGTTCACCCTCAGAGTTGCCGATGTCAGCGGGAATCATGGGCAGGAAGACCCTCTCCTCTTCTTCAGAGCGAGGATAGTACATCGGCAGCAGCTTCCTGAACACGGCCTATCAAAACACATCACATCTGCTGTTCCATCGAGTTTAACGCCCAAGACTCCAAATGTGGGACTAAAACCCTGTCCAGCTGTGACTATTTGCAGAAAGACTAAATAAGTCGTAGCTGGCAGTGATTTTTGGATGTTTGAAATGAGAGCAATTAGAGAAGAATGGTGAGAGATTTGAAGAGTAAAATAAACTAACCTCCTCCGTTTCTGAAACTGCAAACACGACAGTTTCGATACTGTTCCCGTGATTCTCCAGAAACCTCCGCACTGTCCCTAAAACAGAACAAGGATTAGATAAAACGGTTTTACCCTCAATCAACGAGGGTTTGAAAATGTGGTATGAGCAGGTTTCACATTTGAATCACACTGTTCTCCAGAAAATAAAGTAATGAGTTATTTTCACTTGGTTTGGTATGGTTTGGTTTGGTTTGGTTTGGTTTTTATTTTTACAGAGACGGTGTACAATAAACATTAGCCAAAAGGAGACATGCTTTGTACCAGGTTGTAGCAGCAGTGCTAATCTAAAACTGAAAGCAGCAGTGTTAATCTACAGCGTAAAGCAGCAGTGCTAATCTACAACGTAAAGCAGCAGTGCTAATCTACAGCGTAAAGCAGCAGTGCTAATCTTCAGCGTAAAGCAGCAGTGCTAATCTACAGCGTAAAGCAGCAGTGCTAATCTACAGCGTAAAGCAGCAGTGCTAATCTTCAGCGTAAAGCAGCAGTGCTAATCTACAGCGTAAAGCAGCAGTGCTAATCTACAGCGTAAAGCAGCAGTGATAATCTACAGCGTAAAGCAGCAGTGCTAATCTACAGCGTAAAGCAGCAGTGCTAATCTACAGCGTAAAGCAGCAGTGCTAATCTACAGCGTAAAGCAGCAGTGATAATCTACAGCGTAAAGCAGCAGTGCTAATCCACAGCTGTAATCCTTGAGCAGGTTGTTTTAAATCAGTAAAATAAAGATGGAGACAATATCAGACAGAAACTATCATTTAATTTAGAACAGGTTATAATAAAATAAAACCAGTCGTAATTCTTTACTAACAGAGACAGACACACACACACACACAGACACACACAGACACAGACACACACAAGACACAGACACACACAGACAGAGAAAGACACAGACAGACACAGACAGAGAAAGACACACACACACACAGACAGAGAAAGACACACACAGACACAGACACACAAGACCGAGACACACACAGAGACACCGAGACAGACAGACACACACACAGACAGACAAAAAAGACACAGACACACACAGACAGAGAAAGATACAGACACACACAGACACAGACAGAGAAAGATACAGACACACACAGATAGACAGAGAAAGACAAAGACACACACACAGACAGAGAAAGACACAGACACACACACAGACAGAGAAAGACACAGACACACACACAGACAGAGAAAGACACAGACACACACACAGACAGAGAAAGATACAGACACACACAGACACAGACAGAGAAAGATACAGACACACACAGACACAGACAGAGAAAGACAAAGACACACACACAGACAGAGAAAGATACAGACACACACAGACACAGACAGAGAAAGACAAAGACACACACACAGACAGAGAAAGACACAGAAACACACACAGACAGAGAAAGACAAAGACACACACACAGACAGAGAAAGACACAGACACACACACAGACAGAGAAAGACACAGACACACACACAGACAGAGAAAGACACACACACAGACAGAGAAAGACAGACACACACACACACAGACAGAGAAAGACACACACACAGACAGAGAAAGATACAGACACACACACACACAGTCAGAGAATGACACAGACACACACACAGACAGAGAAAGACACACACACAGACAGAGAAAGACACAGACACACACACAGACAGAGAAAGACACAGACACACACACAGACAGAGAAAGACACAGACACACACACAGACAGAGAAAGACACAGACACACACACAGACAGAGAAAGACAAAGACACACACACAGACAGAGAAAGACAAAGACACACACACAGACAGAGAAAGACACAGACAAACACACAGACAGAGAAAGACACAGACACACACACAGACAGAGAAAGACACAGACACACACACAGACAGAGAAAGACACAGACACACACACAGACAGAGAAAGACACAGACACACACACAGACAGAGAAAGACACAGACACACACACAGACAGAGAAAGACACAGACACACACACAGACAGAGAAAGACACAGACACACACACAGACAGAGAAAGACACAGACACACACACAGACAGAGAAAGACACAGACACACACACAGACAGAGAAAGACACAGACACACACACAGACAGAGAAAGACACAGACACACACACAGACAGAGAAAGACACAGACACACACACAGACAGAGAAAGACACAGACACACACACAGACAGAGAAAGACACAGACACACACACAGACAGAGAAAGACACAGACACACACACAGACAGAGAAAGACACAGACACACACACGTTAAGTCAGGCGTGTGAAAACTACTTTTCTCTTTTTGTTCAGAGATTGGACTAATTATGGCAGATTTCTGTCTGTAACTGAATCAGGAACACAGTGTCTGGATTAAACGACATCAGAGGATTTAGTGAAAGGCATTATGGACCAGCACGAGTTCACTTCCTGTTGTGGGTTCATGAAACTGGCTCAAAGAAAACTGAACAAATCATGTTTTCACAGAAAGGTGAATGGATTACTCACTCAGAGCGATGTGCGTGGCCTCCTCCAGGGGATACCCTCTTTTCATGGTACTGACGACACACACACCCACAGAAGCCATCGACTGCTCACTGCACACACACACACACACACACACACACACACACACAAAAGTCGATTACAATGACATTTTACATGATATAATGAAAATAGTGCAGAACAAGGATATAAAGGCACACTAAAGAGACCAGAGAGAGAGACCAGAGAGAGACCAGAGAGAGACCAGAGAGAGAGACCAGAGAGAGAGACTAGAGAGAGACCAGAGAGAGACTAGAGAGAGACCTGAGAGAGAGACCAGAGAGAGAGACCTGAGAGAGACCAGAGAGAGACCAGAGAGAGACCAGAGAGAGAGACCAGAGAGAGACCAGAGAGAGAGACCAGAGAGAGACCAGAGAGAGAGACCAGAGAGAGAGACCAGAGAGAGAGACCTGAGAGAGAGACCAGAGAGAGAGACCAGAGAGAGACCAGAGAGAGAGACCAGAGAGAGAGACTAGAGAGAGACCAGAGAGAGACCAGAGAGAGACCAGAGAGAGACCAGAGAGAGAGACCAGAGAGAGACCAGAGAGAGACCAGAGAGAGACCAGAGAGAGAGACCAGAGAGAGAGACCAGAGAGAGACCAGAGAGAGACCAGAGAGAGACCAGAGAGAGAGACCCGAGAGAGACCAGAGAGCATCATGTTGATCCGTGGCTTTGTTGATCCATCTCACAAAAGCTGGTTCTGATGTGAACAAAAGTCATGTGTGACCCAAATACTGCTTTGATAAAGTGTTATTAAGGAGAAAGTCTTTTTATACTGTAAATGCACATGTTCACAGATGTGTATATTCCTGAGTAACTATATCCAGATTATTCTACTCTCAAAATATTATATTATTATTATTATTATTATTTTCAGACTGTTACTTTAGTATTATTTTTATTGTGAGATACTATGCAAGTGACTGAACACAATTTCTCTGTGGATCAATAAAGTCTATACATTTTACTTACTTCTTTACTTCTTTATTTTAGAATGTTCTGGAAACTGCAGCGAGTCCAAAAAGGCTCTGTTTTTTTGTGTTTTATAACTTTTATTTTTATGGTTTTTTTCTGCCTGAGATGTTGCTGCAGTTCAGAGTTCATGGTTTTACACCGGTCCAGACCAGAGCAGAGACAATGGTCTGAACCAAGCTCCACCTCTGCTGCTGTGACCTGAAGGACTGAAGCTCTCTCTCCTGATGCAGTTTAGAGAGTTTGTGAAAGGTGTTCTTACGCAGCCAGTTGCATGATGTTCCTGTAGCAGCTGTAGAGGGAGCTCTCTGCAGCCGTCCTGTACTTGGCCTTGTACTTCGGCCCCACAGTGTGAATGATGAAGCGCGCCGCCAGGTTAAAGCCTTTGGTCAGTTTGGCTTCTCCTGTGCGGCATCCTGCAAACACACCCAGCTCAGGATGAGAACCTCAAAAGGTGGATTAGCTGATTTTATGAATGCACGACTTACTGGTTTTCACAGATTACAACTTTGTCTGTTTAATATCACTCAATAACTAAATGTAAATGGGTTTGTTCAGACTAAAAGGTACAAAAGTCTGACAAAAGGCCACAAATTAGGTGTTAATAATCAGATATATGATGTTTTTCATGGGTTCAAATCCCTCCTCTGTCCTTTAGAAGTTGCTAAAAGAGACAGTTTTTATAAATGAGTGCAGTTTCCTAAAGTCTGTTTATTTTCTGTAACGACCTGATCCTTTGAATGAGATTTTTTACATATTTTCAGATCCACATTTGATTCTTTTTTCACACAGAGAAGAAACAAAGTGATTAATTTAATATTAAACCAATTAACTGCCACTAATTGACTGCCATTGACGTATTTGCCTGAGACCCTCTGTTCCACTGCGGATCACAGGAGAATAAAAACAGCTAGAAAGAAACTTATTTTTGCTGATGAAAATAGACAATCCAGTCTTTCAGAATCTGGTTTCATTTTTCACATAGTCTTAGTTTTCAATATTCTGTGGGTCTTGAGAATCAGTGAAATCATCAGAAACGACAGCAGTCAATGAGTTAATGTGAAACCAAACCATTTTTTTAAGATAAAAATTGAAACATCACGTCCTTTACACATTTTTCAGGGTTATTTTTTTTTTTTTTGATGATTCTCTATGAAACCCAGTGATTTGCGGATGTTAATCTTATTGTTTATCTTTTTCAGACTCTGGACACTTTATTTTCTCTGAGTCACAGAATGATCCAATCAGAGGCTGAGCTGGTTTTTAAAATGTTTATCCACACTTTCTCTTTGATCTGTCTGTGTCTGAAATCTTTTATCTAATCTATGACAGTCATCTTAGTTTATGAGATAAAACCTTCTAAAGTCCAGATACTTTGACACTTTACCGTGAACACACTCACATACAGTGCATAAGAGAGAAGAAGAGAAAATCAAAACCACTCATGAAAACGTCAGGAGACCGTAAAGATAATAAATGTGGGAAAGTTTTACAGACAATGTCTCTCCATCGTCACCTTTGAGTTTGGGGAGTTCCTCTCGGAGCTCGGGTCCTGCCAGGAGGTGCACCGTGTCCGACACTGGGTTCTTCTCGCTCAGAGACTCGTTGCTGGTGTTGACGATGGCCGTGCAGTTCAGTGAAGCTACTTCTCCAACACTGAGGACACAAACCAACTTTTTATTGAATTCAACAAAAAACATCCTGAAACATAAATATTTACATAAAAGCCAGAACTAACTATCGAAGCAAACATGGTGAAGGTGGTGATGTCATGGTGCCTCACATCAAGAAGGTTCTGGGTTTGAGGAGGACCCAGGGCCTCCTCAAACCCGGCACGGTGGCTGAGTGGTTAGCTTTCTCGCTTCTCAGCAAAAAGGTCCTGGCTTCGAACCCCGGTCAGAACAGGGCCTTTCTGAGTGGAGTTTGCATGTTCTCCCTGTGTCTGCGTAGGTTTCCTCCGGGTGCTCCAGCTTCCCCAACCACTAAAAACATGTACAATAGGTCTGTGGCTCCTGTACTGGCCGCTCCCATCTCTGTGTGGAGTGACTAATGCAAACAATTGGAAACCTCTTTGACTCTGGTCTGAGAAAGGCGCTATATAAATAAACATGACTTACTTGTGCTTCGTCAGGAGCAGTAGCGTCATTAATACACCTCAACAAATGTATTTAATGTAAGAAAACGTAACTAGTCATGTATGTAATTTCTGATTGAAGAAAATGTGTAGATATCGTGTTCTGAAACTAAAAAGGTTTTGTGTAGTTGGCAACGTGTTTATCTTAATGTCTTTATCTTTGTCTAAATATCACATTTCCTGCCGACAGTGGCTCAGTTAGTCTTTGAGCCTGAAGGTTGTGGGTTCGAGCCCATCAAAAGACCTTCTCTACCAACTCCCACTGATGAAGACACTTAACCCCACTTTGCCTGAAGCCCCTGCTGAAAGATTAAGGCTCTGCTCACACTAAAAGGGTTCACTGCACTTGTTTTTTGTAACCCTGGAACAGCCGCCATCTTGAGGACTTTAGTAAACATTTAACATAATTCTTGTGCTTTTGTTTTATCTTTATTATTTCACCATGACCTCAGTTGCACTGAATGGACCACACACAGTTTCAGAACATCAAAGTCTGAGAGAAGAGTACGAAGAGTTCCCATTAGTCCTCGATTGATTCAGTTCAATATGATCCTGACTTCATCTGTATTTGAAAAGAAGAATGAGGAACTGCTTCAGGACATGTTGAAAGCATTTGGTCACAAGAATCAGACGTTTACGTGACCCACTTTAGGATTGACTGATGTTAAAAAGAACCAGCTGTAACTGCAATGAACTGAACATAACCAATACATTTCCACAGGTTTTGACTCCAATAGTTCAAATGTCAGAGTTTTGAGACATAATAAATACAAGTCTCTAAGTCACTCACTACACATCGATTCTGTCGATTGGATTTGTTAACCTAAAATCAGATTGGTAAAAAACAAATAATTAGAATTATTTCTGATAATAGTTTACTCCCTGTTCCTGTTCCAGGGGCCGGAGGGAGTCTTGTCTAGGAACCACAGGACTCCATCTCTGTCCTGTTGGCTCCAACGAACCAGGACCTGCAACGAACCGGCCCTCTCCAGGTCCAGTGTTAGAGCGTCTGCAGTCAGAGCTGTATCGGACCGTTATGGTAAAGAGGGAGCAGCGTCTGCAGTCAGAGCTGTATCGGACCGTTATGGTAAAGAGGGAGCAGCGTCTGCAGTCAGAGCTGTATTGGACCGTTATGGTAAAGAGGGAGCAGCGTCTGCAGTCAGAGCTATATCGGACCATTATGGTAAAGAGGGAGCAGCGTCTGCAGTCAGAGCTATATCGGACCATTATGGTAAAGAGGGAGCAGCGTCTGCAGTCAGAGCTGTATCGGACCATTATGGTAAAGAGGGAGCAGCGTCTGCAGTCAGAGCTGTATCGGACCGTTATGGTAAAGAGGGAGCAGCGTCTGCAGTCAGAGCTATATCGGACCATTATGGTAAAGAGGGAGCAGCGTCTGCAGTCAGAGCTGTATCGGACCGTTATGGTAAAGAGGGAGCAGCGTCTGCAGTCAGAGCTATATCGGACCATTATGGTAAAGAGGGAGCAGCGTCTGCAGTCAGAGCTATATCGGACCATTATGGTAAAGAGGGAGCAGCGTCTGCAGTCAGAGCTGTATTGGACCGTTATGGTAAAGAGGGAGCAGCGTCTGCAGTCAGAGCTATATCGGACCATTATGGTAAAGAGGGAGCAGCGTCTGCAGTCAGAGCTGTATCGGACCGTTATGGTAAAGAGGGAGCAGCGTCTGCAGTCAGAGCTATATCGGACCATTATGGTAAAGAGGGAGCAGCGTCTGCAGTCAGAGCTGTATCGGACCATTATGGTAAAGAGGGAGCAGCGTCTGCAGTCAGAGCTATATCGGACCATTATGGTAAAGAGGGAGCAGCGTCTGCAGTCAGAGCTGTATCGGACCATTATGGTAAAGAGGGAGCAGCGTCTGCAGTCAGAGCTGTATCGGACCGTTATGGTAAAGAGGGAGCAGCGTCTGCAGTCAGAGCTATATCGGACCATTATGGTAAAGAGGGAGCAGCGTCTGCAGTCAGAGCTGTATCGGACCGTTATGGTAAAGAGGGAGCAGCGTCTGCAGTCAGAGCTATATCGGACCATTATGGTAAAGAGGGAGCAGCGTCTGCAGTCAGAGCTGTATCGGACCGTTATGGTAAAGAGGGAGCAGCGTCTGCAGTCAGAGCTATATCGGACCATTATGGTAAAGAGGGAGCAGCGTCTGCAGTCAGAGCTGTATCAGACTGTGACCCCATGACCCAGAAAATGAATAAAGCAAAAGAAAATGTTGCCCTCTATATTGACTTCTTGTGCCTTTGGTGATCAACGGCCACTTTCCTTTATAATATATAAATGGTAATTACAGGCATTTGCTTTAATAAAGTTTACACCTCATAATTTCACAGAGAACAATAGAAGAAGTGAAAGGCCATTATTTCTGTTTGATTGACATTAAAATCATGAACAATCTAATAATAAGAGGTGAAAACAGTAGCTCCCAGTGTTGTAAAGTCTGGGTGACTTGGGGCTGAAGAATGTGAGCTCTCACTTTAGACAGAACCTCAGCAGTTGGTCATGTGCTCGTTCACAAAGAGGATTTAAGAAGTGATATGGACTCTGCTCTGTTTGAGCACGCGGTCGCCCACAACACGCTACGGCCGCTGCTTTTGTCCTGTATCACCAAGGTTCAAGATGGAAGCTTTAATGTAGGGAGCCATATGTTGGGAACATTTTGCACAAGACAAAGTTGAGATCAGTGAAAGATATCATATGGAATGCAACAAAAACCACATTTGATTGGTGGTTGTAACTGCACACAAAAAATGATTTAAAAAATAGTAGTAGGGCTGTGAAAAGCTCCAATTCGATCCATTAAAAACTAAATCAGGAGACAGCAAAGTTGAGATCACTGGAGGATATCATATGAAAAGCAACAATACATTTGATTGGTGGTTGAAAAGGCACAAAAAAATAAAAATAACTAAAGCAAAGTTGTAGGGCTGTAAAATCAATTCATTAAAAACTAGCAAACAAACATCTAAATAATCTTTAACTACAGCCCTATCTTTTGATGAATTGTGGATCATACAGAAAAGTACAATACCTCCGTACGTTACATGAGCAGTGACACATGCAGGACTTACTGGAGGATAATCTTGCGGCTGATGTCGGGCCTGAAGGGGAACGGCGAGGGGAAGGCCAGCTGACTGTCCAGACTGTCGTTGTGCTCGTGTATAAACTGGAGGTCATTGTCATCGATCTGCTGCTGCCACGTGGGGAGAGTCTGGACGTCCACAAACTGGGACCGGGCTCCTAAAGGGTCCATCTCTGACCCTCACACCAATGCTGCAAACAAATACAAGATTATCATTCACTTCTACGGCTCGAAGCAAAAATATAAATAAACCGTGCTGCATCAACAATACGTGTGCTAGAACTTGAGATTGGGAACAGAACAATCCAGTATTTAGAGTTACAGTTGCTAAATTATGATTGACAGGATATAGTCTATTTAGTCACAAAAAAAACATTAAAATTATGTTTTTTTTCCTTTCACATGCTTTGGCTCATTCACCAAACTCCATGGAAAATATGCCCATGGGATAATCTATATGCATACAAGCTATTTCAGAGTACTGTAGTGTTAATTAAAGTAATGTAATAATAGTAGCAATATGCAGCCTTGTTCTGTTCTGAGTATCAATACTACCATTATATTAAAATATTGTTATAATATTTTATCCACACAAAAAAAAAAAAATCAACACAGTAAAACAACACAAATATTATTATATAACACAATGATATCATATTAGCCCTTGCAGAAAAATATATTGGACAAATCATCAAAAAACACACAGGTTCAGCAATGTTGTGGCAGTACCATGGACTGTGGCAGTACCATGGACTGTGGCAGTACCATAGACTGTGGCAGTACCATAGACTGTGGCAGTACCATAGACTGTGGCAGTACCATGGACTGTGGCAGTACCATGGACTGTGGCAGTACCATGGACTGTGGCAGTACCATAGACTGTGGCAGTACCATGGACTGTGGCAGTACCATGGACTGTGGCAGTACCATGGACTGTGGCAGTACCATAGACTGTGGCAGTACCATGGACTGTGGCAGTACCATGGACTGTGGCAGTACCATGGACTGTGGCAGTACCATGGACTGTGGCAGTACCATGGACTGTGGCAGTACCATGGACTGTGGCAGTACCATAGACTGTGGCAGTACCATGGACTGTGGCAGTACCATGGACTGTGGCAGTACCATGGACTGTGGCAGTACCATGGACTGTGGCAGTACCATGGACTGTGGCAGTACCATGGACTGTGGCAGTACCATGGACTGTGGCAGTACCATAGACTGTGGCAGTACCATGGACTGTGGCAGTACCATAGACTGTGGCAGTACCATGGACTGTGGCAGTACCATGGACTGTGGCAGTACCATGGACTGTGGCAGTACCATGGACTGTGGCAGTACCATAGACTGTGGCAGTACCATGGACTGTGGCAGTACCATGGACTGTGGCAGTACCATGGACTGTGGCAGTACCATGGACTGTGGCAGTACCATGGACTGTGGCAGTACCATGGACTGTGGCAGTACCATGGACTGTGGCAGTACCATGGACTGTGGCAGTACCATAGACTGTGGCAGTACCATAGACTGTGGCAGTACCATAGACTGTGGCAGTACCATGGACTGTGGCAGTACCATAGACTGTGGCAGTACCATAGACTGTGGCAGTACCATGGACTGTGGCAGTACCATAGACTGTGGCAGTACAGTACCATAGACTGTGGCAGTACCATAGACTGTGGCAGTACCATGGACTGTGGCAGTACCATGGACTGTGGCAGTACCATGGACTGTGGCAGTACCATAGACTGTGGCAGTACCATGGACTGTGGCAGTACCATAGACTGTGGCAGTACCATGGACTGTGGCAGTACCATGGACTGTGGCAGTACCATGGACTGTGGCAGTACCATAGACTGTGGCAGTACCATGGACTGTGGCAGTACCATGGACTGTGGCAGTACCATGGACTGTGGCAGTACCATGGACTGTGGCAGTACCATGGACTGTGGCAGTACCACATGGACTGTGGCAGTACCATGGACTGTGGCAGTACCATGGACTGTGGCAGTACCATGGACTGTGGCAGTACCATGGACTGTGGCAGTACCATGGACTGTCAGTACCTGACTGGCAGTACCATGGACTGTGGCAGTACCATGGACTGTGGCAGTACCATAGGACTGTGGCAGTACCATGGACTGTGGCAGTACCATAGACTGTGGCAGTACCATGGACTGTGGCAGTACCATGGACTGTGGCAGTACCATGGACTGTGGCAGTACCATGGACTGTGGCAGTACCATGGACTGTGGCAGTACCATGGACTGTGGCAGTACCATGGACTGTGGCAGTACCATAGACTGTGGCAGTACCATAGACTGTGGCAGTACCATGGACTGTGGCAGTACCATAGACTGTGGCAGTACCATGGACTGTGGCAGTACCATAGACTGTGGCAGTACCATAGACTGTGGCAGTACCATAGACTGTGGCAGTACCATAGACTGTGGCAGTACCATAGACTGTGGCAGTACCATGGACTGTGGCAGTACCATGGACTGTGGCAGTACCATGGACTGTGGCAGTACCATGGACTGTGGCAGTACCATGGACTGTGGCAGTACCATAGACTGTGGCAGTACCATAGACTGTGGCAGTACCATGGACTGTGGCAGTACCATGGACTGTGGCAGTACCATAGACTGTGGCAGTACCATGGACTGTGGCAGTACCATGGACTGTGGCAGTACCATAGACTGTGGCAGTACCATGGACTGTGGCAGTACCATGGACTGTGGCAGTACCATGGACTGTGGCAGTACCATGGACTGTGGCAGTACCATAGACTGTGGCAGTACCATGGACTGTGGCAGTACCATGGACTGTGGCAGTACCATAGACTGTGGCAGTACCATGGACTGTGGCAGTACCATGGACTGTGGCAGTACCATGGACTGTGGCAGTACCATGGACTGTGGCAGTACCATAGACTGTGGCAGTACCATAGACTGTGGCAGTACCATGGACTGTGGCAGTACCATAGACTGTGGCAGTACCATGGACTGTGGCAGTACCATAGACTGTGGCAGTACCATAGACTGTGGCAGTACCATAGACTGTGGCAGTACCATAGACTGTGGCAGTACCATAGACTGTGGCAGTACCATGGACTGTGGCAGTACCATGGACTGTGGCAGTACCATGGACTGTGGCAGTACCATGGACTGTGGCAGTACCATGGACTGTGGCAGTACCATAGACTGTGGCAGTACCATAGACTGTGGCAGTACCATGGACTGTGGCAGTACCATGGACTGTGGCAGTACCATAGACTGTGGCAGTACCATGGACTGTGGCAGTACCATGGACTGTGGCAGTACCATAGACTGTGGCAGTACCATGGACTGTGGCAGTACCATGGACTGTGGCAGTACCATAGACTGTGGCAGTACCATGGACTGTGGCAGTACCATGGACTGTGGCAGTACCATGGACTGTGGCAGTACCATAGACTGTGGCAGTACCATGGACTGTGGCAGTACCATGGACTGTGGCAGTACCATAGACTGTGGCAGTACCATGGACTGTGGCAGTACCATGGACTGTGGCAGTACCATGGACTGTGGCAGTACCATGGACTGTGGCAGTACCATGGACTGTGGCAGTACCATGGACTGTGGCAGTACCCACCTTCCTACCAGGCAGAAGTGATGCTCTCGTTAAAATAATAAATAGAAAGAAATACGGCCACGACAGTCCTCACATCAACGAGTGTTTGTTATTCTACCCGTTTCTCATTTTAAATCCTAAACTTATCAACATAAACACAATAGTAGGAGTTTACAGCTGCAACATGGGGAAGGGGAACAAATTAGCCGTCAGGCTAGCTCTGTGCTGCTGCTGTGTCAAGCTAACATCGTTAGTGTGAGAGCAAGGAAATTAGCCTTTCAAAATAAAATGAGAAAAGGTAAGAAATAACAGTTATGTCTGCATCCAAATAAACTAGACTAGAATGAAGGCATTTAAACAATATGGTTTTTGTATCCGTTTGCTGCTTTGATTATATATATTTTTTTCTTTCCAGAATACATAGCTAAAGTAGGGTTAATTGTTCGAAAGTGAAATTATCTAAAACATAATGACGATTGCTAAAACATTGATGAGAGCACCAATGGCTGAAAATATAAAAACAACTCTTAAATGAAGAAGTCGATCCGAGCAGTTGTGTATGCACCATAGACAATATTATGTATAGTAAAATGTTGCACGGTCGTTGGCTGCGAGAAGAGCATCCGTAACGTTTGCATTGATGCTACTTTGACTAAACCTTCACGGAGTAGTCAGCTGATCCATGACACGACTGACACTTCCGCTTTTACTACAAAACTCACTTTTATACGTAACAAAAATATTCACGCATAACTATAAAATCAGGTTGCACATTGAAAATTACATATTTTTGCAATAAACTGTTAGTTCTGAAGACGTGGCTTTAACTGCAACATGCCTCTGTTGTGATTTTTTTTCTCCCTCAGCAAACTAGGCATAAGCAATAGAAAACTTGTAACAAAAATAATCATAACAATATTTTAAAAAATAATAAAAGAAAAAGTGTGCTTTATAATGTGCAGGTGAATACAGTACATTATCCCTACACTTTCTTGTGTAAATATTCTGTGAATTCACATTCATCAGTTGCTCGTTTATCGATTAGTCGTCCTGAGCGCTTCAGCCGGAATCACAACACGAAAGCTAGCTGCTGTTACAAAGAGGTAAAACATCTCTATACACGTGTCTGCAAAGATTATTTATCCAGTTTTATAAGATTTAAACATGCGAAGGAATTATTTAATTCTGAAATTTGCTACGTATTCGTTTTTAAACCTTGCAATCGCCTCAGATCCTCAACACGTGTATCCAGAAGGACCCGCTGTGTTAGCTCGATATGTTGTTCAGATGCGAGTCAGAAGGGCGGTGTTAAACTCATACTGCGACAGTGTACGGAAACTCACAAAGATCCACCCACTCTGGCTGCCCGCTGTTTAGAAACAAGACGTGGTAGCTTTCTGCTAACCTCGAACGTGCTCTTAAGATGTTAATACAAACTGCATACTTTGTATAAACTGTTTCCACTCACACGACACAACACAATTATATGCAGTTATATAGACGAGTGGTATTATTCTGTAGTATGTTCCTTACTTACTACTACTACTACTACTATTATTAATTACTACTATTTACTACTACAATATTTTTCTTCACATTACTACCATATATATTTTTGTGATTCTCATTAGGGGGTCGTGTAGTTGTGAAAACAGACGATCACAATGTTATTTTAGAAACAAAAACATATGTTTTGTGTATTTTTTGAGGTCTGGAAAAATAAAAACTTACAATAGCACTAACAGTTGTACATACAGTATGATACTCAATCATGAGGATAATTAATTAACTAATCCACAACAACAAAAATACTTTTCTGTGCGATAGTAACATATGCATTATTTTGAGCAGGTTGAAGAGGCACGTTCTTGAAGCTGCTGGTCATGGGTTTGACCAAGCAATACCTGCGTTATGTGCCCAGTGCTGTATTTGGAGTGATTGGCAGTCAGAAAGCCAACATAGCTTTTGTGACTCTGCGTGGAGGCGAGAAAGGCCGGTTTGTTGCTGTTGCTGCATGTGAGCAAGTGTTCATTTGGGACGTCCGAAAAGGAGAAAAGGTGAGACTCATTTGATTTCAAACTGTTTTTTTCAGATCTTAGCTTTATATGCTATTATTTTTTGTTAGGTCCTGATATTACAGGGACAGAAACATGAAGTGACTTTCCTCTGCCCGTCCCCCGATGGCATCCACATCGCAGTGGGATATGAGGATGGAGCTGTGAAAATCTTCAGTTTGTTGAATGGAGAAAGTAATGTCTCTTTCAATGGACACAAGTCGGCTGTTACGGTTATTCAATACGACTCTCTCGGGGCACGGCTCGTGACAGGCTCCAAGGTCAGTCTGTAATGTAAAGTAACGCATGAATGTATATTTTAAAATATATTTACTTTCTTGTCAGTCTACACTACATTGAATGTGTTGTGTTGTAATGCAGGACACAGATGTGATTGTGTGGGACATCATTAACGAGTGTGGCTTATACAGACTGAAAGGACATAAAGATGTCGTCACACAAGCTCTGTTACTCAAGAAGAACCTGCTTGTCACCAGGTATTGTGTTAATGGGTCAAATATAAGAATAGACATGATTATAACCTCATTCACATTTAACGCCTGTGTTTATAAATCTTCATTTTAGCTCCAAAGACAGTTTTGTTAAATGGTGGGACTTGGATACACAACATTGCTTCAAAACCATGGTTGGACACCGCAGTGAGGTGGGCATGAGCTTCATCTGCTACTAATACTACTGCTGCTTTTTCTATTGAGATAACTGTTTTTTCTGGGAGCAAGGATTAAGCAAAGTAAAGTCAATTGTCGTACATCTTCTTTTGACTCTCAACATCCGAGATTGCATTTATATAAACCCAATTAGATATTTATTAAATCTCAGATCTTCAAAGTCCTCAGTGATTTATCTTCTCTTTCATGGCTGTCATGTGTAGATAGATGAGTTTATTTAAAAGGTCAGCACAGGCCCTTTCTGTGAGGAGGTTTTTCTCCGTGTGCTCCGGTTTCCCCTACCACTGTGTGCAACCTCGGGATAACGGATATAAATGAGCACAAATCTAGTGTGTATTTACTGCACTGACCCAAATAAAAACAGGCCTTCTTTACGATAAATTATTTGAACTTGGCAATATTTACAACAAAACAACTATTTGTATAATTTAAATGTGTTTCAAATGAAGGCTTATACATGAAGTAAAGACAAAACACAGGGCTTTTAATGATGTGACTCTGATAATTGTCATATCCTCAGTCCTGAAGTGAGATTCTTTTCAGGTTTGGAGCATGGTTCTGCTCAATAACCAGAGTCGACTGCTCACGGGTTCAGCCGACAGTGAACTTCGGGCCTGGGACATCAACTTCCTGCAGGAGGTGAGGACACAGGGCTAAGGATAAAACACTTACATAAGACTCCTTTTTGTCCATTTATTATATTAAATCATAAAATAAATGTAGTTTAACTTATGTTAATAATATAAATAAAAACTTACTTACTTACTTACTTACTTACTTATGTAGCCATTTATAAAGTAGCATCCCTCAAACTGCCAGAGATTTTGGATATATTTAGTGTTTTTCCAAACCTCATATTAATGTGAGCCCTTGGTTGACACAAGAATGAGACATAAATGAAAGCTCTGTCTCTTGGCTTTCAGTACAAAAAAAAGTAAGTTTCTAACCTTTTCAGTTTTTTAGCAATTGAGAGTGTAACATGGGTAACTTAATGCAAAAAAAACCCAACGTCAATGGCAGTGAATGAGTTAAGAGCCCTGTGAACTTACCTTAAAGAGAAGTTATCAATCATGACTGTGAACATGTGGTTTTTTACGACGTATAAAATCAAATCAATAATAATTTAAAGGTATTACAAAAGGTTTTCATATTATAATCTAAAGCAAACTAAAATTCTAACATGTTTTTGTGTGTTTCCTGTAGAAACGAGCTGAGGGAGAACCTGATGTAAAAAAGGGAAAGGCGCTGATGACGCTGGAGGATGACGAGGGCGACGAAGAGCCGGACGAGAACCCGGAAGAGGTAAAAGCACTGGTCTCGGTCACTTCTGTTTTACACTGACTCAGAAATATTGGTCTAGAATAGTATCGTGCGGGTGTCAAAGTCAGATCCGGCACCTCGGATTATTCTGGGCCCGTGATGATATTTTATTATGATTAGAACCGGCCGCACAGAACCATAAGAGAATATTAAATTATTCATTTACAGTTCAGGATGTGTGTTTTCTATAAGCAGGAAGTTTGTTTTTGTGAATCTGTGAAAAAATTCACTTGAAATGACCGACAGAGCCACAAAAATATTGGATTTTTCATTTAATTATTATTAATATTTTATTTATTTATTTATTTTATATGGACATAACAATAACAATGGACGAACCTGATGCATTGCTGTGAGTGTTAAAGCACAGGTGCTAATTTTCAACACTAGTCCACAGGAAGTTTTTACAGTGCAGAAGATAAAATACATTAAAAAAAATAAAATAAACAATTACAATTTAATTTACACGTGAGAACAGGTCTGTCTGGATCTTAACCACTTTGAGCTCTGCTGAAGATGGTCATGTTAGTCTGTAGTTTCAGTCCGCTGGGGAGAGAGTTCCACAGTTTAAAGGAGAAGATTGTCCAAAAGATGTTCTGAGCTTTGGGAGCTCACAGTCCGCACTGACTGAGGCTCAGACTGAGGCGCTGACTGAGGCTCTGACTGAGGCTCTGACTGAGGCTCTGACTGAGGCTCTGACTGAGGCTCTGACTGAGGCACTGACTGAGGCTCTGACGGAGGCTCTGACTGAGGCTCTGACTGAGGCGCTGACTGAGGCTCAGACTGAGGCACTGACTGAGGCTCTGACTGAGGCTCTGACTGAGGCTCTGACTGAGGCTCTGACTGAGGCACTGACTGAGGCTCTGACTGAGGCTCTGACTGAGGCTCTGACTGAGGCACTGACTGACTGAGGCACTGACTGAGGCTCTGACTGAGGCTCAGACTGAGGCTCAGACTGAGGCTCTGACAGAGGCACTGACTGAGGCACTGACTGAGGCACTGACTGAGGCACTGACTGAGGCTCAGACTGAGGCTCAGACAGAGGCACTGACTGAGGCACTGACTGAGGCACTGACTGAGGCTCTGACTGAGGCTCAGACTGAGGCTCTGACTGAGGCTCTGACTGAGGCACTGACTGAGGCACTGACTGAGGCACTGACTGAGGCTCAGACTGAGGCGCTGACTGAGGCTCTGACTGAGGCACTGACTGAGGCACTGACGGAGGCTCTGACTGAGGCTCAGACTGAGGCTCAGACAGAGGCACTGACTGAGGCACTGACTGAGGCACTGACTGAGGCTCAGACTGAGGCTCTGACAGAGGCTCTGACTGAGGCTCTGACTGAGGCACTGACTGAGGCACTGACTGAGGCACTGACTGAGGCGCTGACTGAGGCTCTGACTGAGGCACTGACTGAGGCACTGACGGAGGCTCTGACTGAGGCTCTGACTGAGGCTCTGACTGAGGCTCTGACTGAGGCACTGACTGAGGCACTGACAGAGGCTCTGACTGAGGCTCTGACAGAGGCTCTGACTGAGGCTCTGACTGAGGCTCTGACTGAGGCACTGACAGAGGCTCTGACTGAGGCTCTGACTGAGGCACTGACAGAGGCTCTGACTGAGGCTCTGACTGAGGCTCTGACTGAGGCACTGACTGAGGCACTGACAGAGGCTCTGACTGAGGCACTGACTGAGGCGCTGACTGAGGCGCTGACTGAGGCTCTGACGGAGGCTCTGACGGAGGCTCTGACGGAGGCTCTGACGGAGGCTCTGACTGAGGCTCTGACTGAGGCACTGACTGAGGCACTGACTGAGGCTCAGACTGAGGCTCAGACTGAGGCTCAGACTGAGGCTCTGACGGAGGCTCTGACTGAGGCTCTGACGGAGGCTCAGACTGAGGCTCTGACTGAGGCTCTGACGGAGGCTCTGACTGAGGCTCAGACTGAGGCTCTGACTGAGGCTCTGACTGAGGCTCAGACTGAGGCTCTGACTGAGGCACTGACTGAGGCACTGACTGAGGCACTGACTGAGGCACTGACTGAGGCTCTGACTGAGGCTCTGACTGAGGCTCAGACTGAGGCTCTGACTGAGGCTCTGACTGAGGCTCTGACGGAGGCTCTGACTGAGGCTCAGACTGAGGCTCTGACTGAGGCTCTGACTGAGGCTCAGACTGAGGCTCTGACTGAGGCTCAGACTGAGGCTCTGACGGAGGCTCAGACGGAGGCTCTGACGGAGGCTCTGACGGAGGCACTGACGGAGGCTCTGACGGACGCTCTGACGGAGGCACTGACTGAGGCTCTGACGGAGGCTCTGACTGAGGCTCTGACGGAGGCTCTGACTGAGGCACTGACTGAGGCACTGACTGAGGCTCTGACTGAGGCTCTGACGGAGGCTCTGACGGAGGCACTGACGGAGGCACTGACTGAGGCTCTGACTGAGGCTCTGACTGAGGCACTGACTGAGGCTCTGACTGAGGCTCTGACTGAGGCTCTGACTGAGGCACTGACTGAGGCTCTGACTGAGGCTCTGACTGAGGCTCTGACTGAGGCTCTGACGGAGGCTCTGACGGAGGCACTGACTGAGGCTCTGACGGAGGCTCTGACTGAGGCACTGACTGAGGCTCTGACTGAGGCACTGACTGAGGCTCTGACTGAGGCTCTGACTGAGGCTCTGACTGAGGCACTGACTGAGGCTCTGACTGAGGCTCTGACTGAGGCTCTGACTGAGGCTCTGACTGAGGCTCTGACTGAGGCTCTGACTGAGGCACTGACTGAGGCTCTGACTGAGGCTCTGACTGAGGCTCTGACTGAGGCTGTGGTGGAGGCCCTGAGCCCGGAGAACAGACACACAATCGTTCACACGTTAAAAAGCCAATTTTGATCTCACACAGGAGAAATGCACATGTCACATCTGGCATGGATAGAATAACTCTGTCTTGGTTAAACTGGTTTTATGCATCATTTTAATACGATTTAATAAACATTAAACCCGTCCGACTCTCAGCTTGTAGCAAATGAGTGTTTTGGCCTCTGATGTGTTTGACTTTGACACCTGCGTTGATGTCTATTGAGTTTGTTTACATCAATCTCTTCTAAATGTAACTTCAAATGTTTTCTGGACGTTTTTTTCGTTTAGCGTATACTGAGCTGTGAAAAGGCGGGTTCCATCCTGAGAGAAGCCAGAGACCGAGTGGTGTCCATGACGTCAGACAACAGGGCCAGAGTGATCGCCTGCCACGTGAGTCCAAGACCACACACCATCCAGGTTTTGTTTTGGCTCTCACTGAGATGAGTTTAAGCATATTTTTAACCAACTGACATTAAGCCACTTGGTTAAACAATAAACTCAAAATCCAGAAAGTCCAGTGCATTTGTGGAAAATACAAAGCCTGATGAAAGCTCAAAAGATTGTGTGATAAGATGGATTGGTTAAAAACTTTTCTGAACTTAGTATTTGGAGCCAGATTGTGCAGATAGACAATACTTCAAACCAAATGAGTTATTCATCTTGAACAGTTGTGTTTTCTGTTTTCACAAATGTCTACAATGGCACAGACCCTTCATGTTCTTCTTCTTCTTCAAAATTGGTCTTTGCAAGTTTTAGCAGATAATTCCATACAGTTAATCATTTTTATTTGCAATTCTTTTCCAGGGAAATGATACAGTCCTGGAGCTGTTTACTGTGCTCTCACCGGAGGAAATCAAGAAGAAAATGTCAAAGAAGTTGAAAAAGGCCAAAAAGAAGGCAGCAAAGTGTGTCAAACATGAACTTCAACAATCTTACAGCCGTAATGTGCAGTTGGTTATTCTAACGTGTGTGGCGCCCCCTGCTGTAGGTCTCAGGAAGATGCTGAAGAAGCTGCAGAGCCTGTGGTGGAGCAGTCACTGAAGGATGAAATTATTAGACTCACAAACCTCAAGGCCTCCTCCAAGATCAGGTTTGTCCCGAGTTTTAGGAACACGCATTTTACATCATGGAGTTCTGCTTTAACTACTATTCACAACGCACAAAAACACACAACAAATGTTTTAAAGATGCTGATAGATTAAACCAGCGATCATTCGGGCTGGTTGTATTTCTGCTGACCCCTCTCACCTGCACATGGTCTATTCCATGAGTGGTTAGCTCTCTCGCCTCTCAGCAAGAAGGTTCTGGGTTTGAATCCTGGTCGGAAACAGGGCCTTTCTGAGTGGAGTTTGCACGTTCTCCCCGTGTCTGCGTAGGTTTCCTCCAGGTGCTTCGGTTTCCCCTACCACTAAAAACATGTGCAATAGTTCAGGGTGAATGACTGTGTTATTAGTGAGAGCGATTGTGAGACAACGGATGGAAATTAACGCTACAATCCGAAGTGATGAGTTCATGAACATGTACTGTCCCAACCACACAACAATAAACAACAATAAACAACAATAAACATGCCCCCCCCACCAGAACCTCCCGCCATAAGAATAGTTTCTTCCTGATAAAACTGAGTTGAAGTGACCAGGATATTCTAATAAACAGATTCCTGCTCGTACATAACTTACACATGTCGATGTTTGTGTACATAGCAGTTATTTATGAATCAGTTTACTAAAAGAGTTTTTGATTCTCGAATATCGCTTCAGCTCTAGTAGATATTCATTTTCAATACAAAAAGTGTTTGTATATATTTAAGTATGTGCCAGGTTTGGTTACAGAACGACCCCCGTTAAACTATCCGAAGGTACAGTATGTGACAGCATTCTGAACCACTCTCTGCCTTTATTGTCATGAAAAAGTAGCTCTGCATGCGGACAGGTTGTAGACCCGGTATAAATACAGTACTTGTAAAGTGTTTGGGCGAATATGTGGATATGAAATGTAATGAATGTGTTGCCAGATGGGTGGACTGCCTGTCATGTGCCGGTGGGGAGTGGAAAGTGGCGCTGCTGCTTCAGAACAACACCATAGAGACGTACAGCCTGAAGACCACAGAGAAAGTCCCCACAGCCAATAAGACGGCCCGGCTCACTCTGGGGGGCCACCGCACCGACGTCCGGACACTGGCCTTCAGCTCGGACAACCTGGCCATCCTCTCTGCATCCGGGGATACTGTGAAAGTGTGGAACAGGTGAAACTCTTCAGATTATCCCCAAATAATGTATGGATTTAAAAATGAACTCTTGTGTTCCAGGCCCACTCTGCAGGTGATCCGGACCATGGCCTGTGAGTACGCCCTGTGCTCTCTGTTTGTGCCTGGAGACAGACAGATCCTACTGGGAACAAAAGTAAACTATATCACTATGTTCTTATCAAGTCTACTTTACACACTTTCTAACAGTTGGTGTTTTTTGTGTTGACAGAATGGGAATCTGCAGATCTTTGAGCTGGCTTCAGGGAGCCTTCTACAAACTGTGGATGCTCACGAAGGAGCCTTGTGGTCCATGAGTTTAGCTCCTGATCAGGTCTGTCTGTCTGTCTGTCTGTCTGTCTGTCTGTCTGTCTCTGTCTGTCTGTCTGTCTGTCTGTCTGTCTGTCTGTCTGTCTGTCTGTCTGTCTGTCTGTCTGTCTGTCTGTGTCTGTCTGTCTGTCTGTCTGTCTGTCTGTCTGTCTGTCTGTCTGTCTGTCTGTCTGTCTGTCTGTCTGTCTGTCTGTCTGTCTGTCTGTCTGTCTGTCTGTCTGTCTGTCTGTCTGTCTGTCTGTCTGTCTGTCTGTCTGTCTGTCTGTCTGTCTGTCTGTCATCTTTACATTCATTTATGCCTTGAGTTGTCACAATCACATAATCCTAGAAACTGTTTTGCAGAGAGGTGTTGTAACCGGAGGAGCGGATAAGACTGTAAAGTTTTGGGACTTTGAACTAGTCAAGGACGAGGAAACAACAAAGAAGTAAGAGATTATTTTTAGCTGTGGCCTTGAAATTAGGGATGTAGATCGGTGACCGTTTAACCGGTGGTTGGCTGTCACAGCGTTAACGGTCAAAGCTGTCGGTTAAATAAAAGAAAAGGAGGAGGAGGGGGTCTGCTAGTTATTTTGAGCCCTATTCGCACGGTGTGAAGCAGTATACATGTGTAATGTAGTTTGTTGCTTGTATAAATGACTCATGAATCCAGTTTTGTGCAGGAGACTGACTCTGAAACACGCTCGGACGCTGCAGCTGGAGGAGGATGTTCTGTGTGTGAAGTTTTCTCCGGATCACAGACTTTTGGCCGTGTCTCTGTTGGACTGCACCGTGAAGGTCTTCTACACAGACTCGCTGAAGGTACAGAGAGCACAGAACCAGCATAGAACCCATTTCTGCCCAAGATGAAGCCTAACCCTGAAGCTAATCCCTGAAGCTAATCCCTGAAGCTACTCCCTGAAGCTACTCCCTGAGGCTAATCCCTGAAGCTAATCCCTGAAGAAAACCCTGAAGCTACTCCCTAAAACTAATCCCTGAAGCTACTCCCTGAAACTAATCCCTGAAGCTACTCCCTGAAGCTAAACCCTGAAGCTACTCCCTGAATCTTATCCCTGAAGCTAATCCCTGAAGCTAATCCCTGAAGATAATCCCTGAAGCTAATCCCTGAAGATAATCCCTGAAGCTAAACCCTGAAGCTAACCCCTGAAGCTACTCCCTGAAGCTACTCTCTGAAGCTAATCCCTGAAGCTAATCCCTGAAACTAATCCCTGAAGCTACTCCCTGAAGCTACTCCCTGAAACTAATCCCTGAAGCTAATCCCTGAAGCTAATCCCTGAAGCTAACCCCTGAAGCTACTCCCTGAAGCTACTCCCTGAAGCTAATCCCTGAAGCTAATCCGTTATTCTGTCCTGTCGGTTTAGTTCTTCCTGTCTCTTTACGGCCACAAGCTTCCTGTTTTGTGTCTGGATATTTCACATGTGAGTATTACCACAAATATTTACAGATATGACGACAAATACGTCGTATATGTACTTCTTTTTAAATATTTTTATATTTTTGTTACTTTCAGGACAGTACACTCATTGCTACAGGATCTGCGGACAGAAACGTCAAAATTTGGGGCTTGGATTTTGGAGACTGTCATCGCTCAATGTTTGCTCATGACGACAGGTAATGCTTTTATAAAGTTCTGGAATAGAGTATTTTATTCTGTATATGTATGGGGGACCTGTATACTGGATATGTATGGGGGACCTGTATACTGGATATGTATGGGGGACCTGTATACTGGATATGTATGGGGGACCTGTATACTGTATATGTATGGGGGACCTGTATACTGTATGTATGGGGGACCTGTATACTGTATGTATGGGGGACCTGTATACTGTATATGTATGGGGGACCTGTATACTGTATATGTATGGGGGACCTGTATACTGTATATGTATGGGGGACCTGTATACTGTATGTATGGGGGACCTGTATACTGTATATGTATGGGGGACCTGTATACTGTATGTATGGGGGACCTGTATACTGGATATGTATGGGGGACCTGTATACTGTATATGTATGGGGGACCTGTATACTGTATATGTATGGGGGACCTGTATACTGTATATGTATGGGGGACCTGTATACTGTATGTATGGGGGACCTGTATACTGTATATGTATGGGGGACCTGTATACTGTATATGTATGGGGGACCTGTATACTGTATGTATGGGGGACCTGTATACTGTATGTATGGGGGACCTGTATACTGTATGTATGGGGGACCTGTATACTGTATATGTATGGGGGACCTGTATACTGTATGTATGGGGGACCTGTATACTGGATATGTATGGGGGACCTGTATACTGTATATGTATGGGGGACCTGTATACTGTATGTATGGGGGACCTGTATACTGTATATGTATGGGGGACCTGTATACTGTATGTATGGGGGACCTGTATACTGTATGTATGGGGGACCTGTATACTGTATATGTATGGGGGACCTGTATACTGTATATGTATGGGGGACCTGTATACTGTATGTATGGGGGACCTGTATACTGGATATGTATGGGGGACCTGTATACTGGATATGTATGGGGGACCTGTATACTGGATATGTATGGGGGACCTGTATACTGGATATGTATGGGGGACCTGTATACTGTATATGTATGGGGGACCTGTATACTGTATGTATGGGGGACCTGTATACTGTATATGTATGGGGGACCTGTATACTGTATGTATGGGGGACCTGTATACCGTATGTATGGGGGACCTGTATACTGTATATGTATGGGGGACCTGTATACTGTATATGTATGGGGGACCTGTATACTGTATGTATGGGGGACCTGTATACTGTATGTATGGGGGACCTGTATACTGTATATGTATGGGGGACCTGTATACTGTATATGTATGGGGGACCTGTATACTGGATATGTATGGGGGACCTGTATACTGTATATGTATGGGGGACCTGTATACTGTATGTATGGGGGACCTGTATACTGTATGTATGGGGGACCTGTATACTGTATGTATGGGGGACCTGTATACTGTATGTATGGGGGACCTGTATACTGTATGTATGGGGGACCTGTATACTGTATATGTATGGGGGACCTGTATACTGTATGTATGGGGGACCTGTATACTGGATATGTATGGGGGACCTGTATACTGTATATGTATGGGGGACCTGTATACTGTATGTATGGGGGACCTGTATACTGTATATGTATGGGGGACCTGTATACTGTATGTATGGGGGACCTGTATACTGTATGTATGGGGGACCTGTATACTGTATATGTATGGGGGACCTGTATACTGTATATGTATGGGGGACCTGTATACTGTATGTATGGGGGACCTGTATACTGTATATGTATGGGGGACCTGTATACTGTATGTATGGGGGACCTGTATACTGGTATGTATGGGGGACCTGTATACTGTATGTATGGGGGACCTGTATACTGTATGTATGGGGGACCTGTATACTGTATGTATGGGGGACCTGTATACTGTATGTATGGGGGACCTGTATACTGTATATGTATGGGGGACCTGTATACTGTATGTATGGGGGACCTGTATACTGGATATGTATGGGGGACCTGTATACTGTATGTATGGGGGACCTGTATACTGTATGTATGGGGGACCTGTATACTGTATGTATGGGGGACCTGTATACTGTATATGTATGGGGGACCTGTATACTGTATATGTATGGGGGACCTGTATACTGTATATGTATGGGGGACCTGTATACTGTATGTATGGGGGACCTGTATACTGTATGTATGGGGGACCTGTATACTGTATGTATGGGGGACCTGTATACTGTATGTGTATGGGGGACCTGTATACTGTATGTATGGGGGACCTGTATACTGTATATGTATGGGGGACCTGTATACTGTATGTATGGGGGACCTGTATACTGTATGTATGGGGGACCTGTATACTGTATGTATGGGGGACCTGTATACTGTATGTATGGGGGACCTGTATACTGTATGTATGGGGGACCTGTATACTGGATATGTATGGGGGACCTGTATACTGTATGTATGGGGGACCTGTATACTGTATGTAGGGGACTGTATATGTATGTATGGGGGACCTGTATACTGTATGTATGGGGGACCTGTATACTGTATATGTATGGGGGACCTGTATACTGTATATGTATGGGGGACCTGTATACTGTATGTATGGGGGACCTGTATACTGTATATGTATGGGGGACCTGTATACTGTATGTATACTGTATGTATGGGGGACCTGTATACTGTATGTATGGGGGACCTGTATACTGTATGTATGGGGGACCTGTATACTGTATGTATGGGGGACCTGTATACTGTATGTATGGGGGACCTGTATACTGTATATGTATGGGGGACCTGTATACTGTATATGTATGGGGGACCTGTATACTGTATATGTATGGGGGACCTGTATACTGTATATGTATGGGGGACCTGTATACTGTATGTATGGGGGACCTGTATACTGTATGTATGGGGGACCTGTATACTGTATGTATGGGGGACCTGTATACTGTATGTATGGGGGACCTGTATACTGTATGTATGGGGGACCTGTATACTGTATGTATGGGGGACCTGTATACTGTATGTATGGGGGACCTGTATACTGTATGTATGGGGGACCTGTATACTGTATGTATGGGGGACCTGTATACTGTATATGTATGGGGGACCTGTATACTGTATGTATGGGGGACCTGTATACTGTATGTATGGGGGACCTGTATACTGGATATGTATGGGGGACCTGTATACTGTATGTATGGGGGACCTGTATACTGTATGTATGGGGGACCTGTATACTGTATATGTATGGGGGACCTGTATACTGTATATGTATGGGGGACCTGTATACTGTATATGTATGGGGGACCTGTATACTGTATATGTATGGGGGACCTGTATACTGTATGTATGGGGGACCTGTATACTGTATATGTATGGGGGACCTGTATACTGTATATGTATGGGGGACCTGTATACTGGATATGTATGGGGGACCTGTATACTGTATATGTATGGGGGACCTGTATACTGTATATGTATGGGGGACCTGTATACTGTATATGTATGGGGGACCTGTATACTGTATGTATGGGGGACCTGTATACTGTATGTATGGGGGACCTGTATACTGTATATGTATGGGGGACCTGTATACTGGATATGTATGGGGGACCTGTATACTGTATATATGGGGTAAAAAATAAAATAATTTGGCTCAAAAAGTAGTGGGAAGAAGAAAACGTATGCGCCCCACCCCCTGTTCCGACATTTCTTTACTTGAGCGTTACCTTCACAAATAAAAACATCATTTTTTCGTTCCAGTGTCATGTTCCTCCAGTTCGTTCCCAAGACGCATCTTTTCTTCACCGCGGGAAAGGACAAGAAAATGAAACAATGGGATGCAGACAAGTTTGAGCTCATTCAGACGTTAGAGGTGAGGACTTTAGGCTTTTATTCAAATGACCACAAAACTCTTTAACAAAACCTAATCAAATCTATCTATAAACACATTAGAATTCCTTCACATTAGAATTTATGTTTAAAATGAGGTCATCAACATTCATTAAATAACCTCAACATGTAACTAGTGCATTAGTCTTAGAACCAAGCCCCGGTGATCCAAGATGGCGTCCTACTCAAATCAGTGGCACATGATTGGTCTGCTGGGCCAGCTCTGATTGGCTCAGACGACCAATCAGAGCTGCTGATCAGAGCGGAAAGGAAAGGAGCAGAGTTTGTGGCACTAAAGTGTGGATTTAAAGAAAGCAGAAGGATTTAAGAAGAAAATAAGTGCAGGATGACAAGGAACACTAAAATCCCCTCCTTAAAATCACCTCTTTTGAAAGCTGTAGGTTCTCTGTCAGGTTCTCTGTCAGGTTCTCTGTCAGGTTCTCTGTCAGCTGAGGTCGAGCTGTCTTAGTTTACATTGAGTTCTATGGGGATATTTTGTGTAGTCAACGTGAATTGGACTAAACAAATCTCCCTTAGTCTCATTTAGTCTGCAGCACCGAGAGAATCCCGCGAGCCCCAAGTTGTAATTCTCTCTCCAGATATTAAAATAGATCCAGGATTAGCGCCCGCCACTTTATTTGCTGAAAAGTCCATCCCTCGGCCCATGTTTGATGCAGATACACTACAGCTCAGTCTTCTGCTGTGTGTTGCCTCCACAGGGACATCACAGAGAAGTGTGGTGTCTGAGCATCAGCCCGAACGGGGACCACATCGTATCGTCCTCTCACGACAAGTCTCTGCGTCTGTGGGAGAGAACCAGGGAGCCCATCATCCTGGAGGAGGAGCGCGAGATGGTACATATGTTTAACGCCCACATATGGGTTTCCCTCTGACCAGGTTCTGTTCATCAGAAAGGATATTCTCTTCATAGTTCTATTTCTCACGAACGAGCCGTGTATGTGGGCGGCGACAGTGGCCTTTGAGCCTGAAGGTTGTGGGTTTAATACCACCACAAACTCTTCTCAACCGACTCCCACTGATGTCTGCTGTGTCCTTGGGCAAGACATTTAACCCCACTTAGCCTGAAGCCCCCACTGACAGAGGCCATTCTCTCACAGACCGAGCGAGGGTGCAGCTCTGACTGTAGTAATGGATTGAGGGGAAGAAGATGGATGGAAGCAGTATATTAACAGCAACTTGATTGAAATGTTGGCTTCGTTAAAAAAAAGTACAAATAAGTGGTGGAGATAAGGGAAAGGACAGAATCTGGCTCAAATATAACATTAATATATAAAAAGCAGATTTTTTGTGTTGATGAAACATTATTGCTGCATTAACAGTTTAACATAACTATGGCAGTATTTTGATTTAAAGTGTTAATTGTTTTGAAGCAACGAGAGACGGAGATGGAGGAGAGTGTGGGAAAAGAAGAGGCTCCTGTGGTAGGTTTTTATTATTATTATGTAATATTGTTGATATTCTTGTATAATGTATAATAATAGCTATAATTACCAACGGAGAGTTCATAGATATTTGCCTTTTACTTAAGTTAGAGCTTATAGTTACAAACAAAACCCGTGAACCTCTTTTGAAATGTCTTTGGTATTTTTTTGTCTATTAATGTTGTAATTATTTCTAACCAGGTACCAGGAGAGACACCAGGTGAAGCGGCACCAGCTGGAAAGAAGACGGTGGAGACTGTGAAAGCTGTATGTACCGACACACCTCAAAGACAGCATTGGTTAGTGATTGAAATGTGTGTGTTTTTGTGTGTCCAGGCTGAAAGAATCATGGAGGCTTTAGAGCTGTACAGGGAAGAAATGAGGAAGATGGAGGATCACAGGTTCTCCTGCGAGCACTCGAGCAAAAAGGTGAATGTCAATGTCAAGGTTATTTCTATGGCACATTTACAACAACAATCGCTGCACAGTATGATACACAATACAAACAAGGCTGTAGTGAAAACAGATATTACAACAGTGCAACGCCTCTGAGCTGCCAAAGGCCAGTGTGAAAAGATAAATCTTTAATAACAAAAAAACATTTGAAGAAGCTGCATTTTGAATAGACCAGAGGCTGTTCCAGAGTGTAGGAGCAGCTCCAGAGAAGGTCACCTCTGGTTTTCAGTCGTGATTTGGGTCCGTTTAGCAGAATCTGAAACTGGACCTCAACTGTCTGAGTGTGAGGGGACACTGGGACAGGTGGGCTGGGACCAGACCATGAAGACATTTATAAACCAGAAGCAGCATTTTAAAGTGGATACAAGCCGACAGGAGCCAGTGCAGAGACGACAGAACAGGTGTGATGTGTTCTCTACACCTGGTCCCTGTCAGCAAACCATCAGCCGTGGCCTAGACCACAGTGCGACTGGTCTAGACCACAGTACGACTGGACTAGACCACAGTAGGACTGGACTAGACCACAGTAGGACTGGACTAGACCACAGTGCGACTGGACTAGACCACAGTGCGACTGGACTAGACCACAGTAGGACTGGACTAGACCACAGTACGACTGGTCTAGACCACAGTAGGACTGGACTAGACCACAGTACGACTGGTCTAGACCACAGTAGGACTGGACTAGACCACAGTACGACTGGTCTAGACCACAGTAGGACTGGACTAGACCACAGTACGACTGGTCTAGACCACAGTGCGACTGGACTAGACCACAGTACGACTGGTCTAGACCACAGTAGGACTGGACTAGACCACAGTACGACTGGTCTAGACCACAGTACTGGTCTAGACCACAGTACGACTGGTCTAGACCACAGTACGACTGGTCTAGACCACAGTAGGACTGGTCTAGACCACAGTAGGACTGGTCTAGACCACAGTAGGACTGGTCTAGACCACAGTAGAAAGAATGCAGTGAAGAAGAAAGACACTAAATGCAACAGGATCTTGTTTTCATCTGATTGTGTTTTCAGCTCCCGCCTCCTGCGCCCAACATGATCCTCGTGGCCTTTGGAAACATCTCTGTGAGTTCATTTATTAATTTCATCTTTTCTGAAAGTGACAGTAGCTCAGTTGGTAGAGCCTGAAGGTTGTGGGTTCGAGCCCAGCACAAGACTTTCTCCACTAACTCCCACTGATGTCTACTGTCGTTGTGTCCTTGGGCAAGACACTTGACCTTAACCTCTGGGAACAGCAGGTGCCACAGTGGGGCGGCTGCGGCTGTAAAGTGCCAAACTGCTGTTGTGTCCTTAGGCAAGACACTTCCCCCACATTAGAATGAGTCTGGTGTGTGTGTGAGTGGTTGGTGGTGGTGGGAGGGGCCTTGCTTCTGTCAGTGTGCCCCAGGGCAGCTGTGGCTACAGTAGTAGATGTTTGGAGAGAGAGAATAATGACGTAAAGAGACTTTGAGCGTCCAAAAAAGCGCTGTATAAAACCAATGCATTATTATTAGACATTCATGCACTTTTGTAAATGCTCTCCTGTGTGTCCAACAGCCGGCCCAGTATGTGTTGGAAGTCCTACGGAAAGTCAGATCGAGGTAACGGCACATTTACAGTATATCCTTACATTTATCTCATTTCTCACGTTGTAAATATGACGTTCTGATGTTGTGACGCAGTGAGCTGGAGATCTCGCTGCTCGTGCTCCCGTTCCCGTACGTCCCTGATCTGCTCAAACTCTTCAACACTTACATCGGTCAGGGCCAAGAGGTGGAGCTCGTCTGCCGCTGCCTCTTCTTCCTCCTCAAGTCAGTCTGTGTGATAGAAAATGTGAAAATCGGTAAAACACATGATTCACGTTCTGTTTTCCTTTTTATATTTTAGGGTTCATTTCGGTCGGATCTCCAGTAACCAGATGCTGCTGTCGGACATCGACGAGCTGCGGAAAAATACACTTTCAAAAGTTCAGGAGATTAGAGTAAGCAAGTTTGTAAAGGAATTCCTGGGTTTCATCTGACGTCAGGACAGTGAATAACAAACGTAGAACAGGACGTGACGTATCCTGGCGCTGCAGTCTGCCGGGTTTATACACGGAGATATAGTAGAAGAAGAAGTGGTTTATACACAGAGATATAGTAGAAGAAGAAGTGGTTTATACACGGAGATATAGTAGAAGAAGAAGTGGTTTATACACGAGATATAGTAGAAGAAGAAGTGGTTTATACACGGAGATATAGTAGAAGAAGAAGTGGTTTATACACGGAGATATAGTAGGAGAAGAAGTGGTTTAGACACGGAGATATAGTAGAAGAAGAAGTGGTTTATACACGAGATATAGTAGAAGAAGAAGTGGTTTATACACGGAAATATAGTAGAAGAAGAAGTGGTTTATACACGAGATATAGTAGAAGAAGAAGTGGTTTATACACGGAGATACAGTAGAAGAAGAAGTGGTTTATACACAGAGATACAGTAGAAGAAGAAGTGGTTTATACACAGAGATATAGCAGAAGAAGAAGTGGTTTATACACGGAGATATAGCAGAAGAAGAAGTGGTTTATACACGTAGATATAGTAGAAGAAGAAGCATCTTTGTGTGCGGTGTACGTTTGTAGCAACCGCACAAATAGAGAGAAAGATCAGAGTTTGTTCATGTTCCAACTGTGGTCTCATATAAAGGAGGACACTTTGAACAAATCACTGGAATGAGGCGGGCGAGGTGGATCAAGGCTTTCCCAGATAAGCGCCCCCTGCAGGCCACCCCAATGAAACACAGACATTTCTTCTGTTTCCTTTTTTTTAAATGCCCAAAATCAAGACTCTTTTGAGAAATATTTGTTAGTGCTGACTTAGAGTTGAGTGTCCCCGATTAAGACTGTTCCAACAAACGTACACTGCACAGGAGGAGAGCCTTTGACTCCAGAACAGACTTTACATGGTTTTCAATGGGAGCAACACTGTCCCACCTCTGCTCATGCGCCCCCTACTGGCCAGTTTAATGAAACCTAAGAATAACTTGACACTTCTGCCATTCACTAGTCACTTTACCTGTTATTATTGTAGGTATTGTTTATTCTGCTCATAATCTCTGCTGCTTAAGAACAATATAAATACTCCTGAACCAAGTGCAATTATAGCTCCAGAGTTTATTTTATTCTATTCTATTGTCTATGATCTTAAATAACAGACCCTGACGCGTGTGTCTGAGTCGTATTTCCTTCTTTCTGCTGTAATCTGCAACGATGACACTGAAACTTCCCGACTGTGAGACCAATAAAGGAATATTTTTTCTTTCTGAAACTGAAAAGATAAGATAAAAATATGTTAAAATAGAATAAAATAAAATAAACTCTGGAGCTATAATGTCACTTGGTTCAGAAGTATTTACAGATGTGTTTATTGTACTTTAGCAGCAGAGAATAAACATCAGTGATAATAATAATAACAGGTAAAGAGACTAGTAAGTGACAGAATATCAGGGTCGTGATGATTGCGAGAAAGGGACCAATGCACCATTTCCTTTGGGATCATTAAAGTGTCTATGTTTCTGTGGCAGGACACGATGGGCTTTAACCTCGCAGCGCTGCAGTTTCTTCAGCGGGAGATGGAGAGTAAAGAAGACGTGCTGTTTTTCGCTGATGCCACCGGTCGCCTGGAGGGGAAGAAGAAGAGGAGGAGGAAGAGAGAGAGAGCCATTCTGACGATCGCTTGAATCAAACGGACATTTTAACCTAATTCCAAGAGAGAGTTTTGGCTGTTTTCTCTCAGCTTTGACATTCTCGTTATTCTCGCTTCATTTCTCAAATAAACTTGCATCAGAGTTTTCACACAGCACCTCCACTTTTATTTGAAGCCCTGAAAACAAATAAATCTGCTGCCTGGCCTCGTCAAAGCAGCCCCCGAGCCTGAAGCTTGACCTATCGTAAAACACATCCACATTTTCAGGAAAATACTGTTAAATATCACGTAAAAGTCACGACACATTCCCCACTGCGATCGTTTCACAGAGAGAACAAGTCTGATTTAAACCTGCCTTTTTGCTACAGGCCCAAAGGGAGCTAGAGTTAGAGTTAAAGATGGTGTTAGAGCTAGAGCTAGAGTTAAAGATGTTATGGAGCAGGGACCGTCAGGCCGATGCTGTGTGACTTTATGGCTCTTGTAACTCCATCATTACAGTATTTGTAGCAGAGTGGAGCTCTTTCCAAAACCACAGTCCAAGACTCACTGAGACCTGGGCGGCACGGTGGCTGAGTGGATAGCACTCTCGCCTCTCAGCAAGAAGGTCCTGGGTTCGAATCCCGGTCGGACCAGGGCCTTTCTGAGTGGAGTTTGCATGTTCTCCCCGTGTCTGCGTAGGTTTCCTCCGGGTACTCCGGTTTCCCCTACCACTAAAAATATGTCCAATAGTTCTGGCATGTGCCTCCTGTACTGGCGACCGCGCTCCCATCTCTGTGTGGAGTGAGAGACAAATGCCCAAAATTAACAATTGTAAACCGCTTTGAGACTCAGATCTGCAGTGAAAATGCGGTATATAAATAAAAACTTACTTACTTACTTACTTACTTACCTGGGTTTAGTCTGAAGACGTGCTGCATGTATTCACACTCACACCTTGTTCTGTCCAACGCCGTGTTTATCTCCTGACTCATGGGCGCTGTGCTGGAGTGAAGTGAACCCTTTAAAACACCTCTGTTCCTGTTTTAATCTCGGGTGCAGAAAATAAATGAACTGTATATTTACAAGGCTGTTAAAATAACAGTCCGCTGCACTTTACAAGAGCAGATTCCTTCGCAGGGCTGTAAATGTCACACCTCGCTAAATTAAAAAATCTTACCCGTCAGAGCCAGCCCGCCCCCGGAATACAAGCAGCAAGTGTGTTTTCAACTGGAAAAAGAGTGAACGTTAAATAGAAAAGAAAATAATCCATTTCAGAGCTAATTTAAGATGGTGTTTTTCACACTCAGAAATATGTGAACACTGGTAAATAAACAAATGGTTTAATAAAAGCTTTGTGCAGCTGTTTGTCAGTGTTAGACACGCCTGTAGGGGGCAGTGTTGTCCTTCACACTGCTGAGTGTTCGCTCTTCAGTGTTAAAGTGCTGCTGTTCAGCTGAACATGGCTCTATGGCGCCCCCTGCTGCTGTTCAGCTGAACATGGCTCTATGGCTTAGCTCCAGAGGAGCAGCATACTGAGAGCGGGCAGTAATCTCACACTATCATCCACACACTTTTAGTGCTGATTGCCCAGAGCCAGAGACCACCTTTTCCTACAGCTGCATCAGGACTGAGGCCTCCTCCAGAAGTGATCTCTCCAGGATCTTACCCAGTGTGTAATCTACCCACTGCCTCAGCACTATTATTAATGTTAGATGTTAGAGTTAGATATTGGTCTCTTGACCTGTATCTAACTCTGTTCTGTTGTTAACACTGTTATTTCCCAGAGTTTGCATTAGGTTTGATGGACAGGAGATAGTGTGTCTGTATGTGGTCAGCACTGCTATAGTCTGTCATCATATGGGCTGCATGACATTAAATACGGCGGGTTGCTCCGCTCTGAGCTGTTGACTTGATTTGGAGGTGTCTATGATCCCTGAATGTGATCCGGGCTATAAATGAGTCTGACCCATGCTTGAGATAGACATCGCTGCAGTGACAGGCCTCTGCTCCAGGACATCTGAGTGAGGTAATATACAAGCCTCCTGAAAGCTAAAAATACATCAATAACTACAGCACAAGGTCTTCTGCACAACGCCTCAGAGTAAAACACAATAACACACCTTTTTATTCCATTTATCAATGATATTATAGCACTGCACCGCATTTCAAAATACCCTGTTACATTTTCTGTTTATTTTTGTCTTTTGAAGGAAGAGGATCTACCTTCAGAAGAGTCTAGTCCAGGGTCTGACCTGCACAAACAAACACTCAGGCCCGTGTCAGCACCGGGAGGAGGCTCTAAACAACTCATTCTTTAACTAATAATATACAGTTTATGTATTTGTTAGTAACATTGATTTTAACTTTGGTCAGAGCCAACACTAAGAAGTTTTATTTAGCTTGATATTCATCAACTTAATGCTGGGTACTCATTTGTCCAATGTTTTCTGTTTTAATCTGATTGTGACAAAATGACAAAAAGCTGTGGAATTTGTCTCCACAGAAAGAAAGCAGAATAAAGTACAAATGTGAACCCATCAGACACATGTTGTCTTCATGTGACACTGCTCAAAATGAAATGAAAAGGCTTTATCCACTAAGAGTAAGTAGTTTGATGTGATTTACGGCCTGAGCGGCGGTCCTCCACAGACTGTAATTTCCTGTGTGAGAACAGAACCAGTGAACCGTGAAGCAGCTTCATATTTTCCAGTGAAACGCGGCTCTTTTTGACTTTTACACTTTTTAGCCGCTCTCCATAAACACAAGAAACCACACAAACTGTCCCGCACGTCGTTACAACTCACGTGTAATAATAATAATAATAATAATATAGTTTCATATAATAACTGCTAGTTTTCATGAATCAAAACTGTCTCGTATGAAATGTTTATGAACTGTTCCCGTTTCATTTGAACTGGAAAAAAAACTGGAAAAATCAAAACAAATGAAATTAAATAAATAAAACGTAAATACTCCTTTTATTTTTTATTTTTGTACAAGCAACAGTTAAAATAGTATTAGTATTATCTGCAGTGTTATTCACTCGAGAAGGCCCTGTCTGTGAGGAAGGAAGTGGCAACTAATGTTTATTTATGTAGCGCATTTTAAAGACCAAGGTACGGACCCAAAGCACTGTACAATATTCAGAGTTCATAGTTTAGACCAGAACACACTGGTCCATCAAAGCCTCCGACCAAACACCCTCCATTCACTCACTACACATTCAGACCTATTGTGCATGGTTTTAGTGGTAGAGGAAACCGGAGCACCCGGAGGAAACCCACGCAGACACGGGGAGAACATGCAAGCTCCACTGAGAAAGGCCCTGTTCCAGCCGGGATTCAAACCCAGGGAAGCGAGAGGGCTAACCACTCAGCCACCGTGCCAAAGTCCCCCAAAGCATGACACTGAAAGGTTTGGGAACCCCAGATCAAAGCAGCTGCGATTGTTGCGGAAAAGATGAAAGAGATTTAAGTTTTAGACAGAATATTAGCATTAGCATTAGCATGGTGATGATCGTGAACGAGCCACGGCTGAAGGTTTCAGGACTCACTCTTTTTATTATTAAAAATGTACTTTTTTGCAGAATACTTGGTCAGTGTTCACATTTCCTTGTGTCACTTTGTCAGTTCTGTATCGATCTTCTGGAGACTATAATCTGCTCAAGCTGTTCATAAAACCAGAGATTCATCTTCGTTCTGTTCAGCCTCAAAGAAGGAGAAAAGAATGTTTTTAAAATTCCACAAACCGCTCAAACCTGGGGATATCCTTAAAATATTAATGAATAAATGGAAAATATTGGAAATCTGGTGTTTGAAAATGTGGTTTTTAAGAAGAGCCAAACTAAGCCTCTGTCTCATACTTTGCAAAACCCAGACCCGGACCCAGACCCGGACCCGGACCCGGACCCAGACCTGGACCCAGACCCGGACCCAGACCCGGACCCAGACCTGGACCCAGACCCGGACCCAGACCCGGACCCAGACCCGGACCCAGACCCGGACCCAGACCCGGACCCGGACCCAGACCCGGACCCAGACCCAGACCCGGACCCAGACCCAGACCCGGACCCAGACCCGGACCCAGACCCGGACCCAGACCCAGACCCGGACCCAGACCCAGACCCGGACCCAGACCCGGACCCGGACCTGGACCCAGACCCGGACCCGGACCCAGACCCAGACCCGGACCCAGACCCGGACCCAGACCCAGACCCAGACCCGGACCCAGACCCGGACCCAGACCCAGACCCGGACCCAGACCCAGACCCGGACCCGGACCCGGACCCAGACCCAGACCCAGACCCAGACCCGGACCCAGACCCAGACCCGGACCCAGACCCAGACCCAGACCCAGACCCAGACCCGGACCCAGACCCAGACCCGGACCCAGACCCGGACCCGGACCTGGACCCAGACCCGGACCCGGACCCAGACCCGGACCCAGACCCAGACCCGGACCCAGACCCAGACCCAGACCCAGACCCAGACCCGGACCCAGACCCAGACCCGGACCCAGACCCGGACCCAGACCCAGACCCGGACCCGGACCTGGACCCAGACCCGGACCCAGACCCGGACCCAGACCCGGACCCAGACCCGGACCCAGACCCAGACCCAGACCCGGACCCAGACCCGGACCCAGACCCGGACCCGGACCCGGACCCGGACCTGGACCCAGACCCGGACCCGGACCCAGACCCGGACCCAGACCCAGACCCGGACCCAGACCCAGACCCAGACCCAGACCCAGACCCAGACCCGGACCCAGACCCAGACCCGGACCCGGACCCGGACCCAGACCCAGACCCGGACCCGGACCTGGACCCAGACCCGGACCCAGACCCGGACCCAGACCCGGACCCAGACCCGGACCCGGACCCGGACCCGGACCCGGACCCGGACCCGACCCAGACCCGGACCCGGACCCGGACCCGGACCCGGACCCGGACCCGGACCCGGACCCGGACCCCGGACCCGGACCCGACCCGACCACGACCCAGACCCAGACCCAGACCCGGACCCGGACCCAGACCCGGACCCGGACCCGGACCCGGACCTGGACCCAGACCCGGACCCGGACCCAGACCCGGACCCAGACCCAGACCCGGACCCAGACCCAGACCCAGACCCAGACCCAGACCCGGACCCAGACCCGGACCCGGACCCACCCGACCCGGACCCAGACCCAGACCCGGACCCAGACCCGGACCCAGACCCAGACCCGGACCCGGACCCAGACCCGGACCCAGACCCAGACCCGGACCCGGACCTGGACCCGGACCCGGACCCAGACCCGGACCCGGACCCGGACCCAGACCCGGACCCGGACCCGGACCCAGACCCGGACCCGGACCCAGACCCGGACCCGGACCCGGACCCAGACCCAGACCCGGACCCGGACCCGGACCCGGACCCGGACCCGGACCCGGACCCGGACCCGGACCCGGACCCAGACCCAGACCCAGACCCAGACCCGGACCCGGACCCGGACCCGGACCCAGACCCGGACCCAGACCCGGACCCGGACCCGGACCCAGACCCGGACCCGGACCCAGACCCAGACCCGGACCCAGACCCGGACCCAGACCCAGACCCAGACCCGGACCGAGACCCAGACCCGGACCCAGACCCGGACCCAGACCCAGACCCGGACCCAGACCCGGACCCAGACCCAGACCTGGACCCAGACCCGGACCCAGACCCAGACCCGGACCCAGACCCGGACCCAGACCCGGACCCAGACCCGGACCCAGACCCGGACCCAGACCCGGACCCAGACCCGGACCCAGACCCAGACCCGGACCCAGACCTGGACCCAGACCCGGACCCAGACCCGGACCCAGACCCGGACCCAGACTCAGACCCGGACCCGGACCCAGACCCAGACCCGGACCCGGACCCGGACCCGGACCCAGACCCGGACCCAGACCCGGACCCAGACCCGGACCCGGACCCGGACCCAGACCTGGACCCAGACCCGGACCCAGACCCGGACCCAGACCTGGACCCAGACCCGGACCCAGACCCAGACCCGGACCCAGACCCAGACCCGGACCCAGACCTGGACCCAGACCTGGATCCAGACCTGGACCCAGACCCGGACCTTCTTGACACCTCTGGACCTCTGGACTTGGCTTTGGAAAGATAATAATAAAAATCATAATGTCTTTACAGTTTTGGTGAAGTCCCCCAAAGCATTACACAGCAAAAAGGTTCTGGGTTAAAATGGAGTTTGCATGTTCTCCCCGTGTCCGCGTAGGTTTCCTCCGGGTGCTGCGGATTCCCCTGCCACTAAAAACATGTACAATACTGTAGTTCAGGGTGAATGAGTGTGTGTTTGTGAGTGAAAATGTGAGACGACGGATGGAAACTAGCTCAACGCTACAATCCGGAGTGATGTGTTCATGAACGTGTTCTGTCCCGACCAAAAGAACAATAAATAAA